TTATGGGTGTTGTGGTTTTGATCCAGTGTTGTGCAGAGTGGTAAGGTGGTGTGGTGTAGGATGGTGCGGTGTGGTGCGGTGTGGTGTAGGGCGGTGTGGTGCGGTGTGGTGTGTTATGAGTGTTGTGGTTTTGATCCAGTGTCGTGCGGTGTGGTGAGGTGGTGTGGTGTAGGGCGGTGCGGTGTGGTGCGGTGTGGTGTGTTGAGTGGCTTCTGGAGCTCCCCATGTTGGATTCACTGGCACTCTGAAGTAGGAATCCAGTGCCTGACTTGTCAGGAACATGAATTTGTTTGCTTGGATTCAGACCCGTTTGCTTGTGCACACCTGTTTTTGATTCTTCTTTGCCTAAAGATTTACTTATTTTTATTGAAAAGGCAGGTTTACAGAGAGAAGAGACAAAGATCTTCTATCTGCTGGCTCACTCTCCAAGTGGCCACAATAGTTGGAGCTGAGCCAATCCAAAGCCAGGAGCTTCTTCTGGGTCTGCCATATAGGGGCAAGGTCCCAAGACTTTTTGCCATCCTCTGTTGCTTTCCCAGGCCACAAGAAGGAGAACTGCATGGGAAGTGGAGCAGTTGGGACACAAACTGGCTTCCATAGGATATGGGATGCTGGTGCTTCCAGGAGAGGATTAGCCAATTGAGCTATCATGCTGGGCCCTTTTATTCTCTTGAATAAACACCCAGAAAACTAAACCTGGATGTTCCACTGGAAAATTCTTTCAAACCTTCAAAGATGAAATAACATATCACCCATATTCATTCAGGAAACACTAGAGAAGAGAATCCTTTCAGTCTATTTTGTCAGACCCTCGTGGAGGGTGTCCAGTTCGTTTCGACTCCAGCCTGAAGTGGTGGAGGTAGAGGCAGCTCAGGTCTACTGTGCAAGTGGGAGTCGGGAGGGTTGCAGGGCTGTGCCTCTGCTCTCCACTAGGGGCACTGCTCTGCGGGTCAGGTCTTTGCTTACACTGAGAAAGAACATGGGGGTCTCCAGGTGGGTCACATGGCAAGCAGGGCTCTTCCCTGCCAGGCCCATCAGGTAATGCAGCCACTCTCGCATCAGCTGTGCCTGGCACCTGTCCCTTCCGAGGAGAGCGGGACTTGGTGAAGATTCTGACCTTGCAGCATGCCAGGAGGGTGTAGCTGGCCACTAAGCAGTCCTCAGACCCTCCCAAGGTGGGTCTAAATCCTGAGGTGGGACCCTGAGCCCGGGGGCTAGTTTCTCCCCACCTGGCCCTTGCCCACTGGCCCCTGAGCCCTTTGTCTCCCTGCTGCCTGGGGCCCACCTCTGAGCTGTAACTGTCTCCATCAGCCGCGGTCAGGACTCTCCATACCTCAAGGGCCACTGCCCGACAGTGGGCGGGGCTAGAAATGCCACTGAGGAAGGAGACCCCTGAGTTTTATTTCACACCCTTGATGTGCCACTGTCCTGCCAGTAGGTGCTGAGAACAGCTACTTCATGTTTATGATGAGTCATCAGCGCAGTATCACCCAGAGGCTATCCAATGTGGTATGTTGGGGCACGCCAAGGTGATGGAGATGCCTGCCCTGTGAGCTGTGACTCAAGGTGCAGAACTGATGGAGCCCTGCTGCTGGACAGCAAAGGTGTGTTTCCTCCCAACCTAACATGCTGAACGCAACCTGTTTCTGGTAGGTCTGTGGCCAGGGCTGTGGGGTGGGAAAGGCATTTTCCAGGTCACTTGCTACATGCAGGGTGTGTCCAAAGGTTCACGCAGCAAAGCCATGGCTGCGGTTGGAGTCACCCCGGACTAAGCTTGTGCTCATCAGCACCGTTCTGCGGCATTCAGCCAGCAGAGCCGGTTAGGGTGTGGCAGGGCTTGCTCCTTTGTTTCTTTTTCTTTTTTCCTGCTCCTATGGATTATTATTACTATTATCTTTGCAAAGGTGTGGAAATCACAGACAGCTGGGCCACATTCAGGAAGGGAGCATGGGCAAGGAGGGGAAAGATGGTAGAGAAATGAAGCGTTCCTCTTGGGTCTGAGGGAAGAGAGTACACCTCCCTGTTCCTGGACTTCTTGGGAGTCAATGAAGTCGACCTAGGGTGCCCAGTGTAACTTAAAAAAAAAGTCAGCACCATGAATTCTTTCATTAAATAAAGAATATCAGTTCCAGCTTTCTTTATAATGGAAATTATCCTTAATTATCATGTTACTAACATCCTGGAAACACAAATCAGTAAACATTCACAAGCTGGCCATCTTTTCCTGGCTTCTCCGCCTGAATTCCATCATGCTGTCAGCCTGTGTTGATCTCACCTTCCCTGAAACCCTTGCCACTGTGGAGCAAACACTTAGGTGCTGTGATATGGTGGGTGAAGCCTCCACTTACGATGCCAGCATCACGTAACATTTCCTCACCTTTGAGGCCTGGCTCCTCCACCTCAGATCCAGCTCCCTGCTAGTGTGAGCCGGAAAGCAGGAAAGGGGCCAAGTATTCAGACCCCTGCTCCTCTCTGGGAGACCTGGAAGAAACTCCTGGCTGTGGCCCAGGCAGGCCCCACCCAAATCAAGTCAGTCTGCCTTTCACATGAATAAATCTTGTAAAAAGTTTCTCTTCAGGCTATGTGTATAAGGTATATAAAAGCCACAAATAAATTTCAACTTTTAGACTTGGTTCCCATTCCTCAAACACCTATGTAGATGTCAAGATTCCAAAATTGAAAAAATTCAAAACTTGAGAACTTTTGGGTCCCAAACATTTTTGTTAATTTTTTCCTTTATTATTTTTCTCTAACCAGTCCCAAATATTTTGGATAAGGGATACTCAACCTGTCCTGTAATTAGAAGCCACTGGAAAAAACAAATCTCACCAGTAAAGTTAATTGTGTAATTATAAAGGGATTAGGTAAATTCCTATTTCTTCTCGGGACATCTTTAAAGCAACCTTATAAAATATCTGTATGTAATATTGTTGGACCTCAATATGTAAAATTTATCTGATGTAATAATACAGAGGAGCTAAGTGGGAACAAATCTGTCTTGGGCAAGCCTTGTGGCTCAGTGGGTTAAGACCTTGGCATCCTATAACATAGAGCTGGTTTGAGTCCTGGATGCCCCATTTCAGATCCAGCTCCCTGCTGATGTGCCTGGGAGAGCCGCAGACAGCAGCCCAAGTACTGGTGGCCCTGGGACCCATGTCAGATACCTGATGAAATTCTAGGCCCCTTGCTTTAGCTTGGATTAGGCCTGGCTATTGTAGCCATCTGGGCAGAGAACAAGCAGATGGAACATCTATCTTCCTGTTTTTCAATAAACAAACACAAATAAATAAGATTAAAAATAAATAAATAAGCAAGTTGTATAGGAATAAGGAAATGACAACTGACCCAAGGCTGTAGTTTGAATCCACAAAAACAAATGAAGAAGGGAAAAAAACATAAAACTGCAAAGACTCTATACACTTTCTAATTTTAATTTTTGGGCTCATTATACTTTTAACTTTGGGTTCTATATACTTACTCATTTTAAATTTGGGGCTGGCCTGTGTCACAGTGTGTAAAGCTACCACCTGTTCCACTTCCAACCCAGCTCCGTGAAGGCAACCTGGAAGAAGCTCCTGGCTTTGGACCAGCTGTTATGGCCATTTGGGGATGAGACAGCAGAAGGAAGACTATCTCCGTCTCTCCTTCCCTCTGTAATACTGTCTTTCAAATAGTTTGAAAAATCATGAAAAAATACTTAAATGAATTGAAATGTTCCACAGAAAATATTAATGAGAAAGGAAGCATAATAAGGCAAACAGAAAATAAAAACAACCATTAAAAAAACACAAAGTTTGTGAAAGAGCACACATAAATTCAGCTACAGTGAACACACCACGTAAGAACAGACTGAACAGATGAAAACCAAGTGTCAAGGTGAGAACGCTCACCTCCTGTCTCAGAGTGCCTGTGCTGCATTCCTGGCCCTGCCTCTCGACTCCAGCCTCCTGCCAACGCAGACCTCGGGAGGCACAAGTGACAGCTCAGGGACTGGGCTCCTGCCACCCACATGGGATACTGCGTGTATGCCCCTGCCTAGAGCATAAGCCTCTGCCCAGCCTAGGACACAGTGGGCATCTGAAAGGGGCAAAGAACCAGTAGGTAGGAATTCTCCTTCTCTCTGATGTGTCTGTGCTTCTCAAGAAACCAAAAGTGGTCATAAGGAAAATGAACACCACAGTGAGCCGTCACTTCCTACCACCCGGGGAAGGCTAGAGGCACAAAGGAAGCATAGGTGTGGGGTTAAAACACGGCTTGCTTCCTCACATCCTGTACTGGAGTCCCTGGGTTAGAATGTAAGCTCCACTTCTGATCTAGATTCCTGCTATTGAGCACCATAGTGTGTCTTTGAGGTGGAGGGCAGCAAACGATACCTCAAGTTGCCACCACCTGCCTGGGAGGCCTGGAAGCTGCTCCTGGCTTTGTTCTTGTCTCTCTACATCTCTTTCTTTCCTTCCAGATAAATAAATACTTCTAAAAAAAAAAAAGACCCTGCATACGTGTACACAAATCACCAGAAGCATTACTCCTAATAGCCAAAAAAATGGAAGCAAGCAAATGTCCATCAACTGATGATGGATACACAAACTGTGCCACATCCACACAATGTTACTTGACACTGAAAGGATGGTATACACACACACACACCGTATGGGTGACTGGTGAAAATGTTAAGACTGAGTGAAAGAAACCAGTCACAGAAGATGACAGGTTACATGACCCCATGTGCAGGATATGTCCTGAATAGCAAATGTGAAGAAAAGAGAGTAGCAGTGATGGCCATGGGGTGGCAGTGGCTGCGATTAGTTAACTGAAACATTGGGGTTTCTTTTTTGGAGTTGAGGAAAATGCCTTCATTAAAATTGGTAGTGACAATTTTACATGTGAGTGAATACATTAAAAATTGCTGAGTTCTACACTTGAAATGGGTGAATTGCAGGGTGTTTGAAGAATTTCTCAGGAAAGTGGAATTTAAACATTTACTTATGTCTATATAAAGACACATTTTGAAAAGATTTATTAAGGAAACAAAACAAGGGGGATAATAGGCACGAGATAGTTTCATTCTTGATAAGTGTGTTACAAGATCTGAGGTAAGCTAGTTCAAAATCCAACTCTTTAAAGGATTTATACTTACTGAATTAACTAATTTTTCTGCAAAGATGTATTTAATCTAAATACACAGTTACAGGTTTGACTGTAAGGTCAATGAACATAAAGGTAGCTGTATTCATCGTTGATAAGCTGCTGTACAAAGCTACTAACTTACAACACAAAACTTGTTTGTATTACAGACTCTGTTTAGAATGCATGCTTCTTTGTGCTATTGTCATTTGAATACATCTGTATAGTGAAAATTACTTTGGTGCATCTCTTAATCAGCCACACACAGGATTACATAGGTGAAGATTAAAATTTTGCACATTCTTGTAAATGGGAATTAAAAATGCCTTTATACTAATTTTTTGTTGTAATTTTCACATCTAATTTAAGGTATTAAGCCTACACATTCAAAAATTTCATATTATTTGATATTATTTCAAAACAATGGTTGAATTTTACTTGTAACTTTTCAGAGCTGTGAATACATATCAGTAACTAAAACGACTAGTGCTAGCAACAGACTCAACACTGGACAAATGAGGAGAGAATATATTGAGATGTAAATCCGGAAGTACTTATTTACTTTATAAAACATTCTTAAATATACAATTAAAAATGGATGCCTTTTGAATACTCATGCATTAAAAACAAATTTACCAAAAACAATCAACTTTCAAAAACCCACCAACTATATAAAGAGAGGCACTACTTTTATCATAAAGGCATTAAATGTTTAAACAGTACAAAAAGAGAAAACATCCAAAACAACTCATTTCTAACAAACAACCCAGTTAAGATGGCTACTCACAGTGTCCTTCAAGAAACAATATTCTTTCAAAAAATTTTTCAATTGCAATGTACAGCACATTTCAAGTTCCATTTCTACCTTTCTTTTAGTCTGGACAGTATGGAAACGTACCACAACGCTGATGCTACTGGTAACGTGGGTTAACATCCTGGAAAACAGATGGCCGTCTACACACACAGAAAGGAGTGAAGAGGAAAGCGCTCCAGTAAAGCACAGGAACCACTGAGGACACATCCTGGGAAAGGCGCTGTTGGACTACTTCTCTGTGTGTGAAAACCATACAGTCTACCTTCACAAACCCACCCAGCCATGACATCACAAAGCAACATGATCATATTGGACCAATGCTGTGTGTGTTAGCTGTCTAACCATTCCTACTTATGCAGCAAACACTTCCAGTCTAACAAAAAGCACCATGATACAGATGCCAAGTTACACGTTTGCAGAGTCAGCACCACAGGCCTTATCATTCAAACAAGTTTCATTTGTTGGATCATTTGGTATTTTAGAAGCTAGGCTGGAAATCCCATCCCTATACTTAACAAAGTTTTGGTAATTCCTGGGTTAGCAGTAACAGTGGCTACAGGATGGTAAAAGACTTATTAATGAGGTAAAAATTAGCAAAAGTTATCTCAGAATGTCTTGCTGTCTAAAACCACAAAACAAGAAAGTAAACTTATAAATAAAGAAGTTAAGGCACTTATTTCAATATCAAGGGTAGAGTAGGTTTTGCATCTCTTTGATAAATTCTATCCCCTCTAAATCTAGATATATTCCTCTCACAGATTTTCCCATTAACCTTAACTACTGCAAGTTACACATTGCTCGTATTATTCTAAATCATGTGTTATTCTATAAATAAGGAACCCAATCGTAACCTTCCTACTTCAAGTTTCCTAGTATTGGGGTCTTAACTGAGAATGAAACAGAAGCAGTCAAGCTTATCTCTCATTTCCAATATTACCACTCACACTTAAAAACTAACTTTTCTACCTGATGCTGAATGAAAAATTCACTATTTGAAAAATTCAATAGAAAATATCTCAAATCTATTTTATTTACAAAATAAGCTGACAGAAGCAAAAGAAACTTACTAATAAAACAACCAAATCTAATAACAGCACATGTGGTCATAATATAAATCAATAAAAACTCCAAGATTTCATACTACATTAAAAAAAAAAAAAAAGGGTCCAATTTCCCTGGCAAAACACCCGAGCTGACTTGTAAATTCACATTCTCTCACATGCTCTAGCCTTAAGTACCACAGTAAGACTGACTTTCCTGTGGCCTTCCATCATTATGGTCTCACCACTTAGACACAGGGTCAGCCTGGGGCATGCTGCCTGCACTTATTTTACTGTACAGTATCAAAAGCCATAGAGTGAAATGAGAACCAGTCAGACTTATGCTGACATACATTAACCCCAACATCCAACAGTTTCCAGCTTCCAAAAGGCAAGCTTCCTAGAGTCAGTCTAAGAATGCACACACTTTCAAAAGGCACAGATGCAGATAACAAAGACCACAGAAAGGTTCCTTTCTGCTGAACAGGAATTTAGAATTCAGTGGCAGGACCGCCACAGTGCTCTCTCCAGCCAGAAAAATGATGAAAACTCACAGGTGAAACGAACATGCATTTCATGTTATTAAAATTATATATGTGTATTGTTATATCTATCTTGAGTTTAACAAATTATTTTAGGGTTTCCTTTAATAAATGATAAGAAACATAATATTTTGGACTGTGAAACTGTGCTGTAAATTTTATTGTGTCATTTTGTTTGTCACTTTGAAAATTGCTTCACAGTTTCACAAATATCACTTGTGTTTTATAATTCCTGTATGCAGAGGTATGTTTAATATAGTATTTGCATACTGTTGCTCCAAAATCTGCATACTGCATCCAAAACTGTTGCTCATTTGGTGTACATGTTTATTCTGCTAATTTTTTACTTAATGTTTCAGTATAAAATACACGAATAAATTATCCCACACCCATATATTTTTAAAAACCTGAACAATTTTTTTTGTTTTAAAATATAGAGAGGTAACAAGAATTATTATTGTATCATGATCATATTGCTACCAGACATAAGTAAAACAAGGTAATCACATAACAGGTGATCATAAAAGAAAAAGCGCAATGCCATGCACCATACAGTACTGAAAAAGTGCTCGCGTGGCTACGCAGCAGATGATGGGGGCTGCATCGACAAAGGCTTCCAGATATGTCTATACATACAGCCTTAAATATAATTTTCTTTTATATCATTTCCATTTCTTTTATCTCATTTTCACATATTACATTAGCTTTTGTCATGAAATTTCAATTGTTACAAAACATGAAACACCTTCAGAAACTTGGTGAGGGTGAGAATAATTCTTTCCTTCTATTGCATAATTATGTCAATTAAGTTTTTATTAAATGCTACACCTAGGAGATAACCCTGATCTTAAAAAAAAATCAAAATCCAGATCTACATCATGGTAAAATGAAGATGTATGTGGAAACTGCTATAATACATAAAATCTTTAAACACCTTGTAATAGTGAGAAAGATGTTTCTCTGGAAATTGCAGAGCACTAGATGTGACAGTAACACTCTGTTTCCCGCAGAACTCTGGATCCAGTTAAGAGCAGGCGGGAGAGAAATGCAGCAGTGTTTCAGATGTCCATACTGCGATCTGCAACAGACCCCATGTAGGTAGAAGAAAATCACTTTATTTCACGTGGCACAAGTCTTCCAAATAAAGGCCCTGTAATTTTTCAAGACTGGAAGGATATCACAGTGTTGATTTTATACACAAAGTAGGATCTGTTCCAGTACACTCTAGTGAAATAATTCACATATGGAGAATAGTTAATTTTGACCTCATGACAAAATCGTCCATATTTCGAATAGGTTAGCTTGTCACCTTCTTCACAAACCACCTATTAAAGAATATAAAACATCATGTTAGCAATCTTATTAAGTTTAGATGAAAAGTACCATCAATGTACAAGTAATTTATGTTCATATGAAAAACTATTATTAGAAAACATGAGTACAGAACATCTCACATTGCTTAGCAAACAGAAACTACATCCATTAGGCTCCTAAGCTTCCCATTCAGAGTGAAAAAAAAGAATTAAGTGTTTCCGATTTTTAAAAACTTTAATCCTAAAATCTAGAAGGCGATGTTTTCATAATCCATTATTACTGGTGCAAAGGGCTCTACAGGAATTCTACCCAAGCAAAGAAATAGCTATGCTTTCTTTCTAATGTGTATTCCATCCCTTCTCCTCTCAGAGAACTGACTCAGAATTGCCTAGTGAGCAAGTATGCTTTTATGACTTATGCCAAGCTTCACCTTTTCATTGATTGATGTTCACTGTGATAGTTTAGCCAGCAAGAAGGGTTTTTTACAACAAAATGCTAAATATTATTTTAATACCTATAAAAGAACTCAACTTTAAAAGCGGAAGGACAATTACTCGTGGGAATTTACCCAAAGTGAAATTAGCTTATGAAAGAGCTATCTGTCCCCCAATGTTTTCAGCAGCTCAATTCACAATAGCTAAGGTGCGGAATTAACCTAGATGTCCATCAGGTGATGACTGGATAAAGAAAATGTGGAAAAATACAATACAAAATACAATTCAGCCATAAATAAGAATAAAGCTGTATCTTTTGGAACAAAATGGATGCAATCGGAAATCACTGCGCTTAGTGAAATAAGCCAGCCCAAAAAGACACATATCACGTTTCCCCTGATTTGTGGTAATCTACAGGAGCAAAAGTGACATTCAGAGATTTGATAATTATTTACAGCCTTTCTCTAATACTCTTGAGGAGCAGTGGCTTTTCCCCTACTTGCTATTTGCTGAATTCTTCACTGATACAGTATTAAGCCTGTGACTATGAGGTGGACTGAGAGCATGTCAGTCATTACAGATTAAAAACAAAAAGATGAAGGAGGAGGGAGCTTGAGAACAAGGATGGGAGTGAAGATTGGGTGGGAAGTGTTACTCTGCTTTTAAATTTGTACGGTGAAATACATGAAATTTGTTCAACTTACTTAAGTGAAAGGAGAAGTGGTGGCAGGAGGAACCTAGGGGGTGGGTGTTCAACTGTGGGCTAGGGTAAAAGGAGCCCTCAGCAGCATTGCAGCTTGCAGAGAGTACCCGAGCCAGGTCGGACCCAATGCTTGCGACTCTGGCCATGGACACTGCAGCCATGTGGTGAGCGAGTCTTGAGCTTTTGGGAGGTCTGACAGATTTCCATCCCCATGGTGAGTACTTTATGTGGAAATCTTGGGAATGGGATTAGGTCCCTGGCGCCACCCTGCCGCTACCACCTTGTGCCAGGAGGAACCTAGAGGGTGGGTGTTTGACCTTGGGGGCTCGGGTGACAGCAGCCCTCCACAGCGTGACAGCTACAAAGGGTACCTGAGCCAGGTGGGACCCAATGCTTGGAACTCTGGTCATGGACAACATCGCCACGTGGTGAGTGAGTCCTGAGCTTTTGGGAGGCCAGCATGCCAAGTGGCATGGGTTTCGCCAGCCTGGAAGTGGGCTCTAAGGTTTATGGGTATGTAATTGCTGCCTAGAGACATACATGGATAAGATCAATGTGAGTTAAGCTAAGGGATTAATCCAGTGTGATTCCCGATGACGGGGTCACTGACATTGCTGGCAATCGTGGGGACTGAGACCTAGTGGTTTGGAGGGGGAGAATCCAGATCTGTTTGGGTCAGACTGATTCACCAGCCCACATGGGAGTCCTGAGATGGGCTGTTAGTGTACAACATCACTGATTGCCACACACCAGCAAACAGCCACGGCTGAGGGCATGTCTGGCAGGCTAGATCCCAGGCCCTGACTGAGTATAGGTTCAGAGGATGGGTCACATTAGGAAGGGTCATGACACCAACCAGCACACAAGAGAACCAGGTCTGGGGGTAGATTCTGCGGGGGATAAATGGGCCCAAACCTGTGGAAATACAAGTCCCTCTGGTTAGCTTAAGAGTTGGGGTGGTGATTCATGGAATCTGCCATCACTCAAGGATAAAGGAACTGACAAAAGTCTGGGCAGGTCAAGGCAGCACCCAAATGTGCATCCTAAAACAGGGTGTGGGGTGGACTGGGATGCAACTTTTACCAGTTCATAAAGGCCAAGATGGAAGGGTAGACTATGCTGGGCACTGATCTAATACCCATTGGCATGTATGAGATCTGGGTCTGGGAGTGAGTCAAGTGGAGGAACTTGGGGAAAATCTCCTAGAGGGCCATAAATCTGACTGACAATCACAATAGTCCAGGCCAGAGGGTCAGGAAAGCTTGGTAAAGTAGCTTTAATGGTTGGCTAAAGTGTGGTTGGTTATGGAAGGGGGTGGACCCAGCAGGGCCGAGCAAACCTTAGTTCACCAGCAAGAACAGAAAACAACCTAGGTTATGCTGAGCTAGGCTCTTACACCAATTGGTTTGCATGAGCCAGGGATGATAGCACAGACTGGTTTGCATGAGCCAGGGATGACAGCATAGACTGGTTTGCATGAACAAGGGATGCCAGAATACAGTATCTAAGGCAAAGGCCAAGACAGTGAGGGATACTGCCAAGCTGGGTCAGAGAAACCACAGAATGCACGCAATCTATGCCTGGGGAAAAGCCCGGTTGAGGAGCGAAAGGGACACCCTAGCTCGTTGGGGTTCCCACTGAGGAGCAAGGGGCTGGAGTGGGGACTGCATTCTGGTCTGCACATGGCTGCAGTCTCCATTGGCACAAGTGTGGACTGGGACTGGATGCTCTGAGCCGGGCTAGACTCCAGCACCACCTGGTGCTCTGGAGGACCAGGATAGATGTAGGATGGACTAGGCTAGGGCTCTGTCCCTACTGAGCCATGTGTGAGCTGTTTTTGGGTATGGACGAGCCTTGGCTGGGCTAAAATATCCAACAGTAAGAACCAGAATGGGTTGAAGGCAAGTCAGAAAAAGCCACTGTCCCTGCCAGGACAGGAAGTAGACTGAGTAGGGCTGGCCCATGGGCCTACCTGGCATTGGGAGAGGTTCTGATGGAGGAACTTGGGCTACTCCTCTGTCAGGACACAGTCCACACAGGTGAGCACAAGAACCACAATAATGAACATCCCAGACAGGCCAGGGAAAGGTACCCACCAGCATACATTTGGCACAGGTCAGGGGCAGACCAGGCTGAACCAGTTCACATCAGCCACTGATGATCCCAGCGCCACAACAGTGTGGGTCAGGCCAGGTTCGGTCGCAACACATATCAGTACACAGTATGGCTAGGACAGGATACACACTGTGCTGGGCTAGGTTATAACCCTCACCAGCTGGAACTGGGGGTGGGCCGGGCCGGGCCAGGCTACAGAACCCACTAGCAAATGCCAAGGTTAGGCGAGCCATGCCAGACTAGGCAGTAACGCTAATAGGAACCAGGGAGGGAGGGGGTAAAACTGGTAGGGGGAATGTGGAGGGCCCCCAGCTGGAACACCTCACCCAATGAAGAGCATGAGTTGGGATGGGGGCAAACTAGACCAAGCAGGGCTACAACACCTGTGGGCCTCATGTGAGCCAGAACAGGGAAGAGCCAGGCTTGGTTGACTCTTCCTACTAGTGCAAGCATAAATCAGTGGGTGAGGGTTGGTTGGGCTTTGCCGCAGCATCAGATAGCAGATGCTGGCACCAGTAGCTAATCTCTCAAGTTAAACTCCAGAACCACCTGGAGAGTGCATGATCCGGGAGTGGGAGTGGACCCATTAGGAAAACAGTGGGAACCTCCCTCTTGGGTTGCCACTCTGACTGGAGAGCATGAAAACCAGGACTGGGGCATGGGTGGCTGGACAGAATGACACCCACCAACATGTGTGTGGGCTGGATAGTGGAGCTAGATAGTGGGCTGAACCAGGCTTCAATGCCCACTAACAAGTAGGAGAGCTGAATGGGATGTGGGACAGACTGGACCAGTCTGCTGTACATACTGGCAAGCACAGGAACAAGGGTGGGGGCAGGTCTGGTGGGGGTTATTGCAGGTCTCTCCGACTAGGTTGCGGCTCCCACTGGTTTATGTGAGGGCCGAGTGTGTGCTGGGCAGAATCAGGCTGAATCAGGCTGGACTGCAACACCTATTGGTTTGTGTGGAAGACAGGGCTGGAAACAGAACTGACCCAGCAATTGCAACCACCAGCATATGCATAAGCTGATTGGGGCGATGGACTGTGTTGGACCCGGTACTGGCATGCACACACAGAATCAGGTCTGGGATCACCTCAGACAAAGTTTCTTTGGCAATCTCCCCAATCGAACTGCTGGACTCAGAACCCCAACCATGAAGAGAAGTGCAGGTTCTATGGTCTGCCATGGAGTGCAAGTGCCAGAGCCGAGCGTCCTCAGAGGCTCAGACGAACAGTTGACAGCATTTCCAGGTGCACATGGAGGATATGGCAGTCCATCGGAACTTGGAAAGGACACTTGGTACCACAACAGAGGACGGAGGACACAACAAATGAATCACCTGCCCCAGTCATGTGTTGGCAGTGAAAAGCTGGGCAAATGGAGACTCTAAAGTGGACTATGTCAGCCAGTAGATTCTGGAGAGATTTCAATATGTTTGGAATGGTGAGAGTGGCAGCAATTCATAACTGTTCAACTATCAAAACCACTTGAGCAGAATCCTCAGAGCATGCTCCACGTCATGGATCTGGGATGGGGTGGGAGGTGGGGTGGGGCTTCTCCCTTTATCTTCCCCCTTACCCCAAATACAAAAAAAATAATAATCATAATGTGTCTTACCCACTTTCCGGTAACCCTTGACCCTTTGTGCCCTAATCAGCTATGTAAAGATTATCAAGTATAATAATATAAAATAAAAAAAAAGGAGAAGCAAATTCATCTTTAAAACCTGGACAACCCAGGAGGACAGGTTCCAGACAGCCGATATAACACGGCACTGAGTCTGAATACTGGATGTTTGTAAAATTCCACTTACCACTATAAACCAGATAACACAGCCATCAAGTATCAAAAGAGAAAATTTCCAACATATACAGCATAAAACAGAATAAGACTAAATGGTTACTAAGAAAAAGAACATAGAACTTATTATAAAATTAAGTTCCTCACTAAAAAAACTCTCCTACCAGCCTTCTCCAGTTAGCACATTCATAGCACACACACTGTACGCTGAGAAAGCAGCTTAGGAAAATGGCTTGACTTCAACACAGAAATTTAAATCTAACTATATCCTAAACAAGTAATTGGGCTCTCGATACAGTTAGGTGTGAAACAAGAACTCAGTGTATAGGAAATGTGTAAATTTAGCTAAGTATTTTTTCTAGAGATGAATAAAAAATTACATGAAATTTTCTGTGTAACATTTGAAATAGCTCTTTGTAGATTGCTATATTAAAATAATACATAGCAAATTATACCATTTTTATACAAATGTCCAACGATTCATATGCAAAAGCAAGGCATTGGATGAAGAATTCAGATATTGGCAAAATTAATTTTTTTCGCAAAAAAATGTCAACCTGCTTGGTGTATTGGAAAATACTTCATATTGATTTTAATTAGCATTTCCACTATTACATAACACTGATAATATTAAGTTTCAAAAATAAAGTTTGAAGATGCTAAGTTTAAAAAAATCATTTTTCTTAAAAAGAAAATTCAACTTTGTAAATTGTAACTTACATGGCCATTTGCAACATCCAGTAAGTCTTTAACCCTACAGCCTCTTGTGGTTCCCACCTCATTGCAGATGGCATCCTCTACAATGAGGTAATTAGCCTGGTAGGATGTCAGTATTTTATAGATATCCTCAGCAGATCGCTTTGAATAGATTTGATAGATCTGAAAAAAAATTGAAACCCATCTTTAAGACACTAAAATTTATATTAGTCAAAACTATGCAACCATTACTACATTCATAGTACTATCTTTGGAAAATATAGTACTATTTCTTTGTGAAGACTGATTAATTTGAAACAGTGACAGAGATGGGGGACAGAAAGTGAGTGAACCTGTGGATTCACTCCCAAAAGGGCAGTAACATCCACTTCGGGGCTAGGCATTTCAGCTGGATTGGCAAAAGAGTGGCAGAGATACAAACCAGTATTCCAATATAGGATGTGGGTATTTCAGTGGTGGCTTAACCTGTTTCACCACTATTCAAGGTTACTTGATTTCTTCCCTCAAGAAGGCACACTAGAGGGCCAGTGCCTTAGCATAGTAGACTTAGCATGGTAGACTTAACACAATAGAATAAGCATAGTAGACTAAGTAGATGCAGCATTGGCAGACAATATGGGCACCAGTTCTAATCTAGCTCCATGCATATGGCCTTGGAAGGCAGTGGAGGTTGGCTCCTCTGGGTCTCCCATCCGGGTGCAGGGTCCCAAGGCCTTGGGCAGTCCTCGACTGCTTTCCCAGGCCACAAGCAGGGAGCTGGATGGGAAGTGTGGCAGCCAGGACACCAATCAGCACTGATATGTGATCCTGGTACATGCAAGGCAAGGACTTTAGCCACTAAGATACCGCACTAAGCCCACAAACAATATTTATTTTTAAAGATTTATTTATTTATTGGAAAGTCAGATATACAGAGAGAAGGAAAGACAGAGAGGAAGATCTTCCGTCCAATGAACTACTCCCCAAGTGACCGCAATGGCCGATGCTATGCCGATCCGAAGCCAGGATCCAGGAACTTCTTCCCGGTATCCCACACGGGTGCAGGGTCCCAAAGCTTTGGGCTGTCCTCTGCTGCTTTCCCAGGCCACAAGCAGGGAGCTGGATGGGAAGCAGGGCCTCGGTGTTAGAACCGGCGCCCATATGGGATCCCAGGGCGTTCAAGGCGAGGACCTTAGCTGCTAGGCCACGCCACCAGGCCCCACAAACAATATTTTTAAAAAAATGTTTTAACCACTGTGTAAAACACTTGCCCCACCTCATCTTTTCAACTGTCACAACTGTTATTGAAAACTTCACCGTAGCTAGGAAAATGACAATTATTATTCCTAGTATTTTATAAACTCAAATTACCATTCACAATATATCTTTTAACCTTTATTGAGGTATTTTACATATATATAATGCACCTATTATAATCCAATGGTTTTTACTATATTTACTCAGTGCAATCGATTTTAGAAACGCCATAGCCCTTATTTGTCATCCCCAAGCCTCTCTGTCCCCGTTAGTCCTAGGCAACTAATCTACCTTCTGTTTCTATAAAAGTACTTATTTGGGATACGTCATAAAAAGAGAGTCACACAATACATATTCCCTGCTGGTTGACTTCCTTCACCTTGTGTAATGATTCCAAGTTTTATCCATGGTGAGCACAGGTCAGTACTTCACTCATTTTTGGGGTCAAATAATAGTCCCATGTACAGACATAACCGTTTGTTTATTCATCAGCTGACAGACCTGTGTTTTGCCCAGTATAAACAACGCTGTACATTCATGTTCAAGATTTTGTGTGAACATGCCTTAGTTTCTCTCAGCCATACATCTAGAAAACAACTGCTGGATCACATGGCAACGCTATGGCTAACTTTCTGAGGAACCGCAGGCCAGTTTCCAATGCAGCAGTACTATTTTTATTCCCACTAATGTAAGAAGATTAAATTCCAATTTTAACACACCCTCATCAATGCTTGTTATTGAATGGCGTTTTATACCTATCCTAATGGGCCGGAAGTAATATCTAATTGTGGATTTGATTTACATTTCCAGGTTAAGCAGCTTTTCATAGGCTCATCAGCCACCTGGGTGAGTGGATCAGCTGGGAGATAGACTGGCACCCATATGGGATCCTGGCACTTACAAGGTGAGGATTTAGTCACCCAGCCATTGCACTGGACCCTCTTTATCACAACTTTGCTGAGCTTATTAAAATAATAAAGCTTTCTAAAATGTTAATATTAAATCAGCTCTCATTAACCTTACAAAAAAAAAAAAAAGACATGAATTTTAGGACAAAAATATCATACTATTTGTCCTGAAAATACTTAATCTGAAATCTAGGTTGGCTAAGATTCCAATCTACTTTCACAGTACTGAGGGGCAGTTGCTTTCTAAAACTGATGGCTCCTGGCTATCTGCATGTGAAAGTCCCACGTGCACAGATCAGCACCAGGGATACCCACACGAACACTGTGTGCCATGCAGCATGGTGACAGCTCAAGAGGAAGCGCTTTACTTACTTCATGGTGCTTAGTAAGTCTCAGTGACTCTATCCTTTCAAGTCTATACTTACTGACAGCAGCCTACACCATTTTCATTTATTTTTAAACTTTTAGAAACTGCCATATACTGTAGGAGGATAAAAGAAACACCCTTTACGGACACCAGTTTGAGTCCTGGTTGCTCCTCTTCCCATCCAACTCCCCGTTAATGCACCAGGAAAAGCAGCAGAAAATTCTTAGGTCTTTACACCAGCATGAGAGACTGGAAGAAGCTGCTTGATCCGGACTTCAGACCAGCCCAGCTCTGGCCATTGTGACCATTTGAAGAGAGAACCAGCTGATGGAAGAACTCTCTCTAACTGCCTTTCAAATTAATCTTTTTGGTTTTTAAGCGCATGGGGGAGACTAGAGGAGTAGGTGTTTCGCCTAGCAGCCAGGACAGCTATGTCCTCCATCAGAGTGCCTGGGTGTGGCTGCTAGTTCTGATTCCTGCCTTCGGCTTCCCGTTAGTGTGAAGCCTGGGAGGCAGCAGTGAGAACTCAGGCTAGAGTCCTGGATTGACTGGCCAAGAGCCAGGAACTGGCTGAGGAGTTGCTGGGTGAATCAATGAACAAGTGTTTTCTAAATCTGTCTCTCTTTCTGACTATAAATATAAATATACATATAAATATAGATATAAAATATAAAAAGAAACAAAACACTTCTGCACAAAGGCAATACCTTTACTGTGGGCCTGGAGTACAGGGTGTCAAATTCTGTACTACTGAGATTATAGACCAGGTAATGCCTCATACAGGAGGGGAGCATTCTGAAAACTGTATTGGATGTTTACTAGCAATTCTGATCTCTACCTCTAGATGCCTACAGGACCACACCTCTGGCTGAACAACCACAAATGTCCCAGACATTGTCCAGCTTGAGAATCACTGGCTTAGAGGATTAAACAATCAATTATTACCAGAGGCAGTGTCTGACGTCAATGATACAGTCTCATTTAAAGACTTCTCTCTGGACTCTGATTTAAAAACAACTGTACCATTCCCTTGGTACTTTATGGAAACTTCAATGTTTTCCCTAGAAACATGTAAATACTTCATACATTCAAAAATAATGGGCTTAATTTTGGCTCTCCCCCTATAAACTAACTAGACAATTTTTTAAAAGCTAAAGCTGGACTGTTTCAACTTCCTAGATGCACTAATAACAAACGTACCACTAGAGAATGATTCTAGAGTACAACAAAATATCCAAATTTAGAATTTTAAATGCCTTACATTTTCATTTCTCTTGAGAAGATCATCGTCATTATAAAGAGGCAGGCTTGTTACCATCCATCCAGTGCATAATTTAATTGCACCCATCAACTGTGGACTCCCTGCAAACACAGCAGCAAGTGGAGCTTGCCTTCTGCAAAGAACCAAAAGATTCAGCAATTCATAACGTCATTATACACTTACATTTCAATGGCAGTTCATTTTTAATTTACAAATTCAAGAAAAAATATCAGGCATTGTATCAGACATTGTTTTGAAATGACAGAAAAAAAAAACATGGAGCCAAAAGAAAATAAACATGTGTCATCCGGTAATAATGCCACTCAAACACAATACAAGGGAAAGATGCAGATTAAGAGGACAGTGACAAGGCAAGAATGCCTATTTTAAATAGGGTGGCTAGCTCAGTGGTGGAATTGAATTTTCCAATTCAACTATTGCAAATTTAACCCCCAAAACTCAACTGCTTCCAGACCCAATTATCCTCCTGCTCCTTCCCTACCTATACATGTGTCTGTCTACAGATAATACACTTATAACTTCTCCACTTCAACAGATGCAACTTACCAAAAGGAAAACCTACAACCAAGTCCCCAAGAACTGCATTAATGCCTTCATTACGTTTTTCAACTCCCTGTATTCAATACCCATACTCTTTGTTCCAGAGCTAATGCCAGGCTCTAGAAATAGAGATGGCACATTGTGACTGCCTTTTTTGTTGTTGTTGTTGTTAAGATTTATTTAGCTATTTATTAAATATTTATTTTTGTTAGAAAGGCAGATCAGATTTTATGAAGAGGACAGACAGAGAGAAAAATCTTTCATACACTGGTTCATTCTCCAAATGACCACAATGGCTGGAGCTGAGCTGATCCAAAGCTAGGAGCGAGGAACTTCTTCTGAGTCTCTAATAAGGATGCAGGGTCCCAAGTATTTGGGCCATTTTGTGCTGCTTCCCAGACTATAAGCAGGGAGCTGGATAGGAAGCCCTCAGTTTCAGATCACCTCAGCTCTGGCTGAGGTGGCCATTTGTAGAGTGAACCAGAAGATGGAATACCTTCTTTCTCTCTCCTCTCTCTGTAAAACCTGCCTTTCAAATAAAAATAAACCTGAAAAAACAAAACAGCATACCACAGTAACATCAACATCTAGCAGTTCAAAGTACAACTGTTCAGCTTTTGTCATGTTCTGTAAAATACTGTGGTACAGGGCAGTGTTGAGCAACAATGGATTAAGCTGCCCCTTGGCACTCATATCCAACATCAGAATGCCAGCCCAAGTCCTGGCTTCTCAGCTTCTGAATCCAAAGAGGCTGCAGCTGACAGTCCAAGCTCTCAAGTTCCAGTCTCCCATTAAGGAAATGCAGACAGAGCTTCTGGTTCCTTTGTGTAGCCTAGCTCTGGCTGTGATAGGGCTCTCTCACTTCTTCCCTCTTCTTTCCCCTTCTCCATCACACTGCCTTCAAATAAATAAATAAATAAATCTTAAATGAATAGGAATAGGGGGACTGGCACAGGGGAATAGCATAGTAAGAACCTGCCTGAAGTGCCAGCATGCTATATGCCAGTTAAAGTCCTGGTTGCTCTACTTCTGATCTAGCTCACTGCTTATGGCCTGGAAAAGCATTGGACGATGGCTCAAGTTCTTGGGACCCTGCCCCATGGGTAAGACCAGGAAGAAGTTCCTGACATTGACTCCCATCTGGAAAGTGAGCTGTAGGCGGGAAGGTATATCTATCTCTTCTCTGTGTAACACTGCCTTTCCAATAAAAAAAAAAAAAAAGGATAGAAATAAGGCCAATTTCTCATTTCTTTCTCTCCCCTTTGCGTTCTACTTCATGTTCTGCAGCAGAATGCTCAACATAAAACATAATTACAAATATTTGGTCACACAAGAGAGGAGCTGGTGGGAGGCATGCAGAACACTTGGGACACCCATATCCAATAGGAGGCATCTCGGCTCAAGTCTCAGCTCTGTTTCTGATTCCAACCTCCTGCAACGCACACCCTGGCAGGTGATGCTCAAATACTTCAGTTGCTGCCGTGCCTGTGGGAGTCCTGGATTTAGTTCTCAGTTTCTGGCTTCAGCCTGGTCCCACTCTGCCCACTGTGAGCCCCAGGGAAATAACTGAGTAGACAGAGATCTGTCTGCCTCTTCAGTCAGTCATACATTTTACAAACAGTTTGAAAACAAGAGCTAGGATTTGGGTATAAACAAGAGATGTGTTTCATTTGTTTTAAATGAATACTGACACAACTCAGGTCCTACAGCATTTGTCCTCTGTCTGCACAGTGGAGCCAGTATGCTCAAGATCCTAGGCCCACAGTAATCAGGCCAAGAACTCGAGTGCCCAAGAGGCAAACACAATCACTGTGAGCCCTTTGCTAGGGCCTGGCAAGCTCCCTGCAGTCACGATTTGGCAGGACTGGGATTCTCAGCTGGTTCTAACAGGGAAGTATTCTACACGGTGCTCGTCTCCACTTCCTCCCATTTATTACCTACAAGCCTAGCCTTCATTTTAGAAACACTTCTGTCTTTCCTCTCATATCTTCCAGGCCTTTTTGAAAAGTGTTTCATTCTTTTCTCATGTTTCCATTTCTGCTTTTACATCTTTAATATTTCTAATATAGTTTATTTCATCTATGGCTAGTTATAAAAATGGCTGCAATAAAACCTCTCTATGCCCATGAATTTTGAGGAATTTCTAACCTTGATCATATGACTTGCTCTTGCCAACAAGGCAGTGATAAATATAATGTAGGCACAGACATAAAAACACGCTCAAGGTTGGCCCTCTCTTGTTGCTTTTGCGAACTCCACCAAACTTTGTGAACAAGCCTGGCCTAACATGCCAGTCATGTAGTCAAGCCAATTATCTTAACTGACACCAAGTCAATCCCAGATATTTGAGCGAGGCCATGCACAATTAGTCAATCCCAGATTCTTTCCTGTGTTTTTCTCAGAGGCCAAGTACATAAACCATCTTCCACTGTTTTCCAAGGGGCATTAGCAGCGAGTTAGATTAGAAGTGGAGCAACATGGCCCAGCACAGTAGCGTAGTGGCTGAAGCCCTCACCTTGCACACACCAGAATTCCAATTTATTGCAGGTTCATGTTCTGGTGACCCTGCTTCCCATCCAGTCCCTGCTTGTGGCCTGGAAAAGCAGTCGAGGACGGCCCAAAGCCTTGGGACCCTAAACCCGTGTGGGAGACAAGGAGGAAGTTCTGGATCCTGGCTTCTGATCTATGCAGCTCTGGCCATTGCAGCCACTTGGGGAGTGAATCAGCAGACAGAAGATTTTCCTCTCCATCTCTCCTTCTCTTTGTATATCTGACTTTTCAATAAATAAATAAGTATATCTTTAAAAACAAAACAAACAAAAAACAAGTGGAGCAACTGGGACTTGAACTGGTACACACATGGAATGTTGTCACTGCAGACAGACAACTTTACTCACCATGGCATAGTGCCAGCCTAGCGTTTGGTGATTTTGAGCTCACCCCTTAGCACATTATCTGGAATCCTGCGTAGCCTGAACTAAGAAGGTATCAGACATTCCATTCTAGTTCAGGACTACTTTTTTTTTTTTTAAGATTTATTTATCTTTATTAGAAAGTCAAACAAACAGAAAGAAGGAGAGACAGAATGAAAGATCTTTTGTCCACAGATTCACTCTCCAAGTGTTTGCAATGGCCACAGCTGAACCAATCCGAAGCCAGGAGCCAGGAGCTTCTTCCTGGTCTCCCACATGGGTGCAGGGTCCCTAGGTTTTTGGGACATCCTCAACTGCTTTCCCAGGCCAAAAGCAGCGAGCAGGATGGGAAGTAGGGCTGCTGGGATAAGAACCAGCACCCATATGGAATCACGGCAAGTTCAAAGTGAGGAATTTAGCCGCTAGGGCCCTCAGGGTGTTGGGCCCTCAGGGCTACTTTTCATACTGACTTCTTGACTTGGTATTTTCTGAATTACATATATATAATTTCAAAGTACAAACCTGTATGAAGTCAGAGCCACTGCTACAAATCCAGAGGATAAACCTGAAGGAGGAGAGCTGAAGCCAAGAGGATCTGAATTCACTATCCATCTCTCTGCCGTGTAGCAGACTGTGTATTCCCCTCCCCTCACTGTGTGGGCTCTGGATTCATATGTGTGTGTGTGTGTGTGTGTGTGTGTGTGTGTGTGTGTGTGTGTGTGTGTGTGTATGTGGTGTGTATGTGTGTCTGGGGTGGAGGGGGGCTGGGAGCAGATCTCCCATATAGTTTCCTGTTTCCACAGTCTCAGGTCCACATCTCGCACAATGTGTGCGCATTCAAATCTAAACCCTAGTTACCAAGACGAGCACTTGACCACCCATACACCCCAGCTCAGGACAGAAGGAAACTCTTCTGACTTTCTGAACAAAAGGAAAGCTGTTCATTGTAATGCCTCATTTCTAGGTGTTGGACAGCGGGACTCTCAAATTGTGTACTTCCTGATGCAGGATTTTTGAGCCTATGGAGATGAGTTTCATTACAAAAATTTAAAAAATTCAATATCCCTCCAAACACAGGACAAGATCCCTCTGTTTTATGGAAAGAACATTGAAAAGTATTATTTTTCCTAAATTCATTGGATAACATACAATGATTAATAAATACTTTAACAGTTTTGGAAGTTCAGCCTTACTTTATCCAGGTCATAAGTTCCACTGTATCTGGGTCATAGAACTCCTGTAGTTCTGTTAATTCTGTCATTAGTCTTGGGAAAAACTAAAATACAAAGCAAAATCCCCAGAAGGTATATGTAAGTAGCTAAAACACAACTGTTTTCAGATTACTTCAAAATACTAAGAGACTAATTTAAGGTCAGCAATATATTAACATTTATTTTCACATAAGAAAGTCATAAATCTCTTAATTTCCTTGAGTGACCTGCTCATTCTTCATTACAATAACCTATTTTATGATTTATTCACGGCTGAGACCCAATAATTTTATCACAATAAGTCAATTGTTAGTATCTGTCATTCACATATATACATATCAAAAAGTAAATTTCAGGTGAAATAATTTGCATGCTTATCGCCAACTGGTTTCACGGTATATATAATATGCCAAATAACTTTTACCATTTTAGGTGTTAATCTTTTAAAGTGGTAAAATGCTTTTTATCATCTGTTTATTTAGCAATTTCCCCTGCCAATTAGAAACTGAATTAACAGTAGCACTAGACTACAGATGGCATTCCAAAAATTTTAATTCTTTTATTACATTCTTAATGATAAAAAATTAAGATATTCTAAGGATGTCACACTTTATTAGAAAATTGTCTCAGTTCAAGTTTCCTATGCACACAAATTTTTCATAATCTTTCAGGCAAAGTACTTTTTAATAACAATAAAATCTAATTTTCTTACCTCTTTCCATAAACTGAGACCTATTATAGTGGGCACAGCCATGCTCAGAATAAGAGCCTAAAATAATAGAGTAAAGTGGGTTAGGAGTAAATACATTTCAGAGACTACTTTATTTATTTTTTTAAGATTTATTTATTTTATTGGAAAGGCAGACATATAGAGAGGAGGAGAGACAGAGAAGATTTTCCATCCTATAGCTTACTCCCCAAGCAGCCACTCAACTGGAGTGGAGACAACTCAAAGCCAGAAGCTTGGAGCCTCCTTCAGGTCTCTTATGCGGGTGCAGGATTCCAAAGCTTTGGGCCGTCCTCCACTATTTTCCCAGGCCACAAGCAGGGAGCTGGACAGGAAGCAGGACCACCAGGATTAGAATGGCACCCATATGGGATTTTAATGCGTTCAAGGCAAGGACTTTAGCTGCTACGCTATCACGCTTGGTCCAGGAGGCTACTTTAGAAACACTACACACTGGGCCTGTCACTATACCCTAGTGGCTAAATCCTGACCTTGCGAACACTGGGATACCATATGGGTGCCGGTTCATGTCCTGGCTGTTCCACTTACCATTGAGCTCCCTAACTGTAGCCTGGGAAAGCAGTAGAGGACAGCCTAAAGCTTTGGGACCCTGCACTTGGATGGGAGACCCAGAAGAGGCTTCTGGATCCTGGCTTTGGATTAGCTCAGCTCCGGCCACTGCGGCCACTTGGGTAGTGAATCAGTGGATGGAAAATCACAGGGGAACCTAGATCGAAAACATAAGCTATCTTAAGACTTCTGAGTTTCCAACATATTAAGCTGGAGGCAAAGTGAAATATACACATTTACTACATAAACTTAAGACAGAACATTAAAGATGTAATGCTCACAGTAATATTTACAATTACAAATCAATATTAGAAAATTTTCCCAGGAATTCATGCTATGAAGAATTTAGTGAAGGATACTACAAAGCTGTATGAAAAAGTTAACAAAAATTTTTAAAAAGGCAATAGCAATATACTTATGTTAAATAAGCACTATATTTATGTTAAAGGCAGTATCAATATACTTATGTTAAAACAAGAACTCATAAATTCTGAGAATAAGACAAAACACAATAATGACTATTATTAAACATAATAAACCATCTTCCTCCCAAAACCATTTCTCCCTATTGTCCCATGCCTTTGGGAACCTGATGATCCACAGTCACTACTATAAACCAGAAACCTGGGACAGCAAAATGTCTCAGTGGCTAACTGCTCGCTTTGTATGCACCAGGATCCCATATGGGTGCTGCTTCACATCTCAGCTGCTCCACTTCCCATCTAGCTCCCATCTAGCCCTTGTGGCCTGGGAGAGCAGTAGAGGATGACTCAAAGCCCTGGGACCCTGCACCCACATGGGAGACCTAGAAGAAGTTCCTGGCTCTCAGCTTTGGATCAGCTCAGCTCTGGCCATTGTGGCCATTTGCGGAGTGAATCACAGGATGGAAGATTTTTCTCTGTCTCCTTCTCTATGTAAATATGCCTTTCAAATCAAAAGAAGTAGATCTTTAATAAATAAATGCATAAATAAATAAGCCAGAAACCTAGGAAACATCTATTTCTCCTTTCTCATGACCATATTTAATGAAGCACTAGGTCATATCAATCTCTTCCAAATTTTTTTTTTCACACCAGCGTAACATGGTATTACTTTGACTGGCTCTAAAGACACAAAAGCCTAGATGTGAATCAAGGTTTATACATTTACAAGCTATAATCTCAAGCAACAACAGATTTATGTCTTAGTTTCTTCATCTATAATATGAAGATTACATAATCCAGCATTAAGCATGTGAAATGAACCTGAACCTGATATATGGAAAGTTCTCATCCAACAGAAGCCCCTAGCCTGCCATGACTTCCTTCCTGATTTGTTTTGCCATCCTTAAGCCTGTCTGTCTTAGGACTGTTAAGAGTGAACCAACAGAAAAGAAAAAGTTTGAGTGCCGACTCTGCACAGGCATGCCAGTCTTTACGCTGCAGTGACCTCACCCTCTTCCACATAACGGTTTCCTGACCACCCCTACCTCACTTTTGGCCACCAAACCAAACACGTCATGCCTTTTCTGTTCCTATTTTTAGTCCCCTTGCTTACGTACTGCTCTCTGTTTCTATTCATTCCTTTGGCCACATATACCCTACTTTCCCTCTCATTTGCCTAGTAACTCCAATTGGAAAGTCTCTAAACCCTCAGTTTTATCAAGGAGCCCTGCTCTAATTCTTAGACTGTCCTACAAATGAGTGCTTCTTATTGGAGATTGTTTTTTAATCTAGAAGACAGTAATTTGATAAAAAATAATCATGCTTCATTTATCATTGCATGTCGAACATGCAATATACAGCAGGAACAACATTAATTTTCCATTCAGCCAAGCTGCATAATTGCTTTCCAATAAAAAAAATTAAATTTCACCCCTTGCAAACTTTCATTCATACAGAACATAATCCATCAAATCAGGAAAGATATTTTAGAAATTAATTATTAATAACAACTCACATTATTGATTTATTTGAGCATCTACCTTTTCCTTTTAAAGTTGTTTAGACTGAAATGTATTACAGAAGATCTTCTGTATGCTGATTCAATCCCCAAGCAGCTGCAACAGCTGGTGCTGAGTCAATCCGAAGACAGGAGCCAGGAGCTTCTTCCTGGTCTCCACACAGGTACAGCGTCCAAAGGCTTTGGGCCACCCTTGACTGCATTCCCAGGCCACAAGCAGGGAGCTAGATGAAGCGGGGCCACTGGGATAACAACTGATGTCCATATAGGATCCCGGTATGTGCAAGACAAGGACTTCAGCTGCTAGGCTACCACACCTGGCCCAAAATGTATTACTTTTATAATCAGGAATTATTTAACAAAAATGTTTTTCACAAGACCTATTTTCCTACCCATCAGTCATTATATGATTTACTACTGTTACTTCAAGTGTATTCAGTTCATCTCTCATTAGCATTTGGCTTTTATCTAATTGGAAGAGAAAGAAGTGCCTAACACGAAATAACAGCGACTCACCAATAATATTGGGTGTACAGTCCTTAGTCGTAGCCACCTGAAAAGTGTCATCCAAAGCTCAGGAGAGCACACACCAAATGCTGCTAGCATGCACACATAAGGCGTCCAGATGTACTTCAAACTGGAAAACACCAAGGGAGTCACACATGGAGCATTCAGTAAACATGAGTTCCCTTTCTGACTCCCAACCAAAACACCAGAATGTAAAGGGAAAATGAAAAAACTCAATCTCTAGTTTCAGCAACAGATTGCTATCGAGTTCTTAAGTCATCAAGAATACACTGAGTTAGCAAAGTGTGAAAATTAAAACAATATTATTGATGAGTGTGAATGTTCTTCAAGAGGATATAAACTGATTGCTCTTTCAGAAGGTCACTTGGCAGACATAAGCACATTCAAAATACATTAAAGACAGGCAATGCCAGTTCTAGTAACCTAAATGATAAGGCACTTCAAAAATTCTGAGGGGAACAGAATCAAAAGATCGTTTATTTTGCTGTAAAATAATTTTTACAATATTTTGAGACCCATCACATAATTTAAAGATCCCTTTATTTGAAAGGCTGAATTATAGAGAAGAGAAAGAAAGATCTTTTATCTGTTGGTTCACCCTCCTGATGGCTACAATGGCCAGGGCTGGACCAGGCCACAGCCAGGAGCCTTGAACTTCATCAGGGTTCTCCACGTAGCTTTCAGGGTCATTTTATCTTGCTTTGCAGGTTCAGTAGCTGGGATCAGGATCAGAAGTGGTAGCAGTTTAAACTGCTGGGCCACAATGCCAGTTCCCACAGATACCTCTATAAATACATATTTTTCATGATTTGGAGAGTCCTTGTATATATAAATTTCTAAATCTTGCACCAAATTAAACTTATTTTTATATTCTATTTTCTAAGAACTTTTTTCAAGCACCTAAATATCTGGCAAGACTAACATCCAAAATATATTAAGAACTCCTACAGCGGTCAGCATTGTGGGGCAACGGGTCAACCCACTGCCTACATGATTGGCATCTATATGGATACTAGTTTGAGTCACAGCAAATCCATTTCTGATGCAGTTCCCTAATGTGCCTGGAAATGTAGTAAAAACACAGAAAACCCAGATGAAGTTCCTGGCTTCTGGCTTTAGCCTAGCTCAGGCCCAGGCCCTGGCACTGCAGCCATTTAGGGAATCAAACAGCTGACAAGATGTTTCTTTCTCCCTCTTTCTCTATAACTGCCTTCCAAATAAATGGATAAATTGTTTAGAATTTAAGAGAAAATTATCACAGCACCATTTACATCTACCTCATTTACAAAACTTCTAATTTTATCTTTATACGAGTAATATCCACCCCTTCATTAGGTCATAAGGTACACCAGGGTTAGAGACTCCGCGCCCACTTTTGCTTACCATTGTACCTCCAGCACCCGGTACAATGCCCAGACCTTGGAAGACATTCAATAGTTCTTGAACAAGTAAATAAATACATAAATTTAGTTCTTTGTACTATAAACTTCATCTGATTTAAGAAAATGTGTAAGTTTTGAACTTTCTTAAGTTTTATAAATATATTCCTGGATGTATTCACTTATCATTAGAAAAGCCTATACTATTGTAATAATATGGGGAAAATCAGTTGGGGGATGAGAATTTGGGAGGGGGGAAATCCCAGACTCTACGGAATTGTATTGTAAAATTCAAAAGTCAAAATAAACATTTTAAAAAAAAACCAATCTATAAAAACAGAGCAAACAAAGTACACTTACCCTTCTATAACCATTGCAAGGGAACCCAATAAAACAGTGTGAATTATGTGGTACATTACTTCTGGCCTTTCTCCAATTCGTCCATCTTCAAGAGAAACACTTTCTTTCATAGACTTACCACTACAAAAGAGAGATTTACTATTAAGACCTTGAAAACATATCTTTGAAAAAATCAAAGATATATTATTTCTAAATTTTGAAAGTCATACTTGAAATGGTTTTTCAATGTATTTATTTGAGAGACCTCCATGTACTGGTTCACTCTCTAAATTGTTCCAACAGTGAAGGACAAGACAGGCCAAAGCTAAGAGCTGGAAATTCAATCCAGGTCGCCCAAATGGGTTACAAGGACTCAGCTACTTGAGCCAAGACCTGTCGCCTCCCATGGTGTGCATTCTCAGGAAGCCGAAGTAGAAAGTGGAGCCAGGATTGAAACCTATGCCATATGATATGGGGTGAAGGCAGGTCACACAGCAGCTTAACATGATGCACCAAACACCCACCCTGAGACTTGAAATTTTAAATTTCTACCAAAAATGTATATAGTCCTCAAAATTTTAAAGTATATTCTGCTAATCAAATAACTAAAACACACTTTTTTAAAAAAAGATTTATTTATTTTGGACCCAGCGTTGTGGCACAGTGGTTAAGGTCCTCGCCTTGCACGCCCGGGATCCCATATGGGCGCCAGTTCTAATCCCGGCAGCCCTGCTTCCCTTCCAGCTCCCTTGCCTGTGGCCCAGGAAAGCAGTCGAGAACGGCCCAAAGCTTTGGGACCCTGCACCCACGTGGGAGACCCGGAAGAGGCTCCTGGCTTCAGATCGGCATGGTGTCGGCCGTTGCGCTCACTTGGGGAGTGAATCATTGGACGGAAGATCTTCCTCTCTGTCTCTCCTCTCTGTATATCCGCCTTTCCAACAAAAAAATAATAAAAATAAATCTTAAAAAAAAAAGATTTATTTATTTTTACTTGGAAGAGTATCATACAAGAAAGAGAGAAAAAAAGATATTGCATCTACTAGTTCACTCCCCAAACGGCCACATGGCCGGAGCTGAGCTGGTGCAAAGCTGTGAGCCAGGAACTTCTTTCTGGGTCTCCCACATGGGTGGAGGAGACTAACAACTTGGGACATCCTCTGCTGCTTTCCCAGGCACATTTGCAGGGAGCCGGATTGGAAGCAGAGCAGCCAGAACTTGAATCAGCATCCATATGGGACACTGGTGCCACAGAACAAGGTTTAGCTTGTTACAAAATGGCACAGGACCCAATATACATTTCTGCTTTTACATATGGTTTTTGGAATCTGAAGACATCTGTGAAGATTAAATATGAATTTTCAGGGTAATATAACAGGTGTTTAGATTATTTCCAAGATCAATTATGGCTCACCTAATGAAAAGTCAGTCAGTATAGTTAAGTCACAAAATGAGTAACTGAAGTTTCAAAATGAACAAATGACATGAGAGGTGGAGGTTTAGCACAGTGGTTAAGAACACCACCTGCCTGAGATACTCATATCCCATATCAGAATGACTGGGTTCCAATCCTGGCTCTACTCCTGATCCCAGCTGCCTGATAAGCACATCCTGAGAGCAGCTTATGATGGCTCACATCCCGAGATCCCTGGCATGCACTTGGGAGATCCAAATGAATTCCTGTCTCAGACTGTTCAGAACATTTTGGAAATGAATAGCAAACAGAAAATCACTCTCTGCCTTTCAAAACAAAACAAATACAGAAACCTATATGACTTGCTTTTGAACATGATAAAAATAGAACAGGGGAGGGTATTGCAGCACAGCACGGTAAGCTGCTTTGGGTCATTCATATTCCATGTATGAATGCCAGCTCAAACAATGGCTCCTCTGTTGCAATCAAGCTTCCTGCTAATGCATCCTGGGAAGCAACAGATAATGGACCAAGTGCTTGGGCTCTTGCTACCTATGAGGGAGACCTGGATGGAGTTCCTGGCACCTGACTTTAACCTGGCCTAGTCTTGGCCGCTGTAGGCATTTGCGGATAAAAGAGTAGATGGAAGATCTCTTTCCCTCTCTGTGCTCTCTCAAATAGATGAAAATAAACAAAAACCTTAAACAATATGAAATAGCCAAACTAAATCATGAATACTAAATCTAAATGCTAAATACTAAATGAATAATAAATACTAAAGTAACCTAAATCATGAATACTAGCCTCATTTAAACAGAAAAAGGGCTAATATTATGACGGAGCAGATTAATCTGTCTCCTGAATCCTACTTCGCACAGCAGAGGGCCAATCTGAGCAGCTGCTGTGACTCAGATCTGGCTCCCTGCTAATGCAGCTGAGGAGGCAGGAGAAGATGGTCTAAGTATTTGGGCTCTGCCCACAAGCAGAAGACCAGGATGCGGTTCCTGGCTTGCCCAGACCTGGCTGTCAGGGCCATTTGGGGAACAAGCCAGGGAACAGAAGATTCCCATCTGTCTCTCCCTTCCTCTGTCACCCTGCCTCTCATATAATTAAATTTTTAAAAAGCTATTAAACAAAAAATTATTCTTACTTTAAGTAAACATTTGAGTATATTAGTAAATGAAGCTGCAGAAGTTTAACTTATATGTTAATCTTAAATTCTGACAATGTTGTGGTTGTACAAATCTAATTTGGGGGCCTGGCATGCTAGCTTAACAACTAACTCCTCGCCTTGCAGGCACCAGGATTCCAGTGCTGAGATCCCAAATGGATGCCAGTTCGTATCCTGACTGAATCACTTCCTTTCCAGCTCCTTATCTGTGGCCTGGGAAAGCAGTCAAGAACAACCCAAAGCCTTGGAACCCTGCACCTGCGAGGGAGACCTGGAAAAAACTCCTGGCTGCTCGTTTTGGTTTGGTTCAGTTCTGGTCATCATGCCCACTTGGGGAGTGAACCAGCGGATGGAAGATCTTTCTTTCTGTCTCTCCTTCTCTGTGTCAATCTGATTTTGCAATAAAAATAAATAAATCTTCAAAAAATTTTTTAAAATCAACTTACAATATTTTTATAACATTGAAGAGAGAATATATACTGGGAGGATATAACACTAGTGTGATTGATTAATTGTCACAAGTACTTACTTAATTCTCCTAAAAATAACTTGCATCATAGAAAGAAGACAAATAGTTAACACTAAAATATAGAAAGGTAATAAAGAAGACTGTGTCAGTCGCAAAAAAAAATCCTGAGATGGTGTCTGCAGCGATTCTTGACAAAGCAGCCAGTTCATGGTAAAATTCCTGTAGAAGACAGAAAGCATGTTAAAGTCACAGGTGTTTTCAAGTACTGAACATGAAAATATTTTAGTAAAACCTAAAACAAAAAATAACTCCTAAATCCATTTCCTTGTACAAACAAGGTCCTGTCTTTATAAATGAATATAACAGTATCAGTAACCCTTGTGAATAAAGCTTATGCTTTTATCAAAATTAACGCCGAAAAATTAAAATGTAAAACTGCTCTGTAATAATGATCAAAGTTCAATGTAAGCATTAACAATTTTCAATTTTCATTTTTTCTAGAAGACAACAAAAAGTTCAACTGCCAACTTCTATACCTGTACTGTCCAATCAGGTAGCCACTAGCTACCCATAAAGGTTACTAAACATTTCAAATCGGCTAATTCAAATGGAGAGAAATTTTAAATATAAAATTAGCCTGGGACTTCAACACATAAAAAAACATAAAGAAAGCAGATTATCTCATTAGTAATTTCTACATTGTTTCCAATAATATTTTGAGGGCTGGGCATTGTGACACGTGGTTAAATCAGCATTTGCAAGCCCCATATCCTATACAAGAGTGTTTTTTGAAGTCCCTGACTCTCCCTATTACATCCAGCTCCCTGAAAATGCGCCTGTGCCTGGGCTCCAGCCACTCACACAGGAGACAGGGTAGAGTTCCTAGGTCCTGTTTCAGGTCTAACTCAGACCCAGCTGTGATAGCCACTCTGAGTAATGAATGCCAGCAGACACAAAATCTCTCAGACATACACACACATTCCCCATTATTCTTTCAAATAAATTAATAAATACATCTAAATTTCCAACCACACAGGTTGCCAGAAATTCAGTTTGTCTCCCACATGAGTGGCAGGGACCAAAAAAAATGAATCAACACCATACTCCCAGGGTCTGATCAACAGGAAGCTGGAGTCAGGAGTGGAGCCAGGACTCCAACACAAGTATCTCAGCCACAAGGCCGAACACCCGCCCCAGTCAATTTGTACTGACTGCTTCCGATGTGCCATATATGCCTGGAAATGCATTTTCACAGAGCAAGTGAATCCTTTTATCTTGGTAGATATACATACATAGTTTCACATCAGAGGGATTCTCACATGTTTAAGCCATGTCATACACTCCATTAACAGTAATATAGCACATACATTGTGCAGTATCTATCATTTCATGTTATTACAGGAAGTTACTAAGTATGTTAGAAGTAAAAAAGTGTGTAAGTAAATACATATCCTGTTATTTACGTTGAATCTATCAGTTCATAAAATCACCTATTTCATTTCAGAATAAAAGATAAACAACAAAAAGTGGCTGGCATTGTGACACAATAGGTAAAGCCACCACTTGGGACATTAACCATTAACATCCCATATGAGCAACGGTGCCTGCAAAAGCATCAGATGGTGGCCCAGGTAAACAGAACCCTGCACTCACGTGGAAGTACCTGGATGGAATTTTAGGCTTCTGGCTTCAACCTAGTCCAGTCTAGCCCCCAGTGCAGCCATCTGGAGAATCTGAATCAGGAGATAGAAAACCTATTCTTCTCGGACTTTTAAAAAAGCAAAGTAATTGGATGCTGTAACCCATGTGATACAGCTGGAAGATGCTCCTGGCTCCTGGTTTTGGCCTCGGCTAGCATTGGCCATTGTGGCCATGTGGGGTACAAACTTAGCAGATGAAAGGTCTATCTCTGTCTCTTCTCCTCTCTCTCTCTGTACGGCTGGCTCTCAAATGAATCTTATAAATAAATAAAAGTAAAATAATAATTAACAGGGGCCAGCACAGTGGCTCAACAGGCTAATTCTCCATCTGCAAGCATCAGCGTCCTATATGGGTGCCAGTTCATGTCCTGGTTGCTCCACTTCCTGTGGAAGGACATCGTTCTTTGCCAGTGTGGAGCCAGAGCTAGTTGCAATTTCTCCGGGAAGGTCCCAGGAGCAGTTAATATGGAGATGAATGGACAGGAAATTCCCTAGTCTGTAGGTTTAAGTAATAGAGGTGCTTCCTCCCCCAGGCATGGGGACAGGAATTAAAAGAACAAGGAAAGGAACCTACTAGTCCTTGTGTATTAGGGGACTGTCTGTTGCTATTAAAATGTAAATGGCTCAAATCCCCTCCCCTGAAGCACAAGTGACAATGTCTCTTTAAAACCTTGGCTTTAATAAACCTCGGCTATCTCACCATTATGGTATTCCATGCGTGTTCTTATAGACTTGCTGTACCAAGTCCACTGCTGCTGGAGAGTGAACAACTTCCTGTCCAACTTACTGGGAAAACAGCAGAGGATGGCTCAGGTCCTTGGAACGCTGAACCCATGTGGAAGACCCAGAGAAGCTTTTAATTGCTGGCTTTAAACAGGCTCAGCTCCAGCTGTTGCAGCCATTTGGGGATCTAAACTGTGGATATAAATCTTCACTCTGTAAATCTGCCTTTCTGGCCTTGGCACAGTAGCCTAGTGGCTAAAGTTCTTGCCTTGCAGGCACCAGGATCCCATATGGGTGCTACTTTGTATCCTGGCTGCTCCACTTCCCTTCTAGCTCCCTGCTTGTGGCCTAGGAAAGCAGTCCAGGACAGCTCCAAAGCCTCGGGACACAGCACTGGCATAAGAGACCCACGTGGAAAGAAGATCCTGGCTCCTGGGTTCAGATTAGCTCAGCTATAGCTATTGTGGCCAACTGGGGAGTGAACCAACAGAAGGAAGATCCTTCTCTGTTTCTCTCCTTCTCTCTGTATATCTGACTTTTCAAGAAAAATAAATAAATCTTTAAAATACATATATAAAATTTAAAAAATTTTTAAATCTATGTCTCTAATAAAAATAAATTCTTGGAATAATAAAAATAACAACAACAAAAAATACAGGTACATTATTCTGAATTTAAAAAGCCAGCTTATTATAGTCTGATTACTATAGTTCCAAGGTAAGATTCTCTGACATGAAAGAAAAGTCTCATGATTCGTCTCTGTCCTTTCGTAATGTGAGCGCAGTGTTGGTGTATCAGTTATAATTAATTTGGCTCTGATCTTAGACTGTGTCACTGTTCCTCACCAAGGAAGAAAATAGCCCTAAAATACTACAATGTTATTGAAGTTAAAATTTACCTAATTTTTAAAAACTCATATTTTTCTCCTTTTTACTTTCCAAGTGGTACAAATTTAATAAATCTATAACCTGAAACTTACTTAGTCATATTTAGTCCAAATTTTACTTCAAGGAATTTCATCATATGCCCATTTTCTTTGTGTGGGACAAACATCTAAAAGAAAAAAAAAAAAAAAGATTAGCTGTGCTTATAGCAACATGTTTTTTCAAATATTTCAGATATAAAATATAGTAAGCCTGCAAAAATAAGAATTACATACTTGGCAGAACTATGAAGCAAGATTTGCTGCCATAAGCAAATCACTACTTTAGGCACTGACATAGAACTACAACAGATTGTAAGAAGTTCTTAGCAATAGCCCCGCCTGGGCACTCACCCACTCTACACTCTTCTGAATATACTGTATTTATCTCAGCCATTCCCTATACTGCTGAATGTCAACTGGGCTATAATAACATTTCAAATTGTATGCAAAATGTTTTCTTTTTTAAAGTATAAAGAAAAATCAGAATCCTCTTTTCTCATCCAATATGCTGATTATGATCATTGTTTAACTCAAAATGACACCATATAAACTGCTCCTTATTGTCTCATTATTCTCATTATCCTTATTGAATATCAAGCAAGGAGTAACTTACCTTCATTATAATATTCATTGCCACTGTCAGAACACACACCACGTAAAAATGAATCACTTTCATTATTTTAGCTATGAAAGTTCCTTTTTTCATATTCAACTGTAGGGAAAAGAAATTATTGAACAAAAAAGTAAAGCCTAAAAAAATGTAATAGTTTAAATTTAACCACAAGAATGACAGGAAGACCATTCTAATTACCTGAAGGCACTTGGTAAGCATTAAGGCCGTTACTAAACTTAACAGAGGAGACACTAACAAAGCTGGATTCTCAAACTGCAGTAAATATCCCAAAAAGAGAGAAAATATATAGATTTTATAAACTTCATGAACCTGTTGGGACAAAAATACAATCAATAGGTGTAACATCAAGTTTACGGTACATTTTTCATTACATTTGTTTAGCATGAATTTGACAACAATTACATAATCTAGGAAAAAGAATGTTCAATTTGTATTTTTACTTATTTTCATTTTGTTTGTAAGCTAGGTAGATAGCAAGAGACAGAGATCTTCTACCTGCTGGTTCATTCCTCAGATGCCTGCAACAGTTGGGCTTGGGCTAGGTTGAAACCAGGAGCCCAAAACTCAATCGAAGTCTCACACATGGTTCAGTGCCAAGGACCCAAGTACTAAGCTGTCACCCGCCTCCCAGAACATGCTGCAGCAACAAGACAGACTAGAAGTCAAGGAGCCAGAACAGGAACCAGAAACGCTGATACGGGAAGCAAGCATCTTCACCATTATGCCAAATACCCACCATAATCAATATTGATTATGGTGTGTAAAGAACGTATCACTTTCTTCAGAAAGTGTTATCAGAAAGTGTTTGGTCTAGTGAGCTATGATGTCTGTCAAGATACTGGCATCTCAGTTCCATACACACCTCTAGGTTTTAACTGAAGCTTCCTGCTAATGCAGATCTTAGAGGAGAGAGGTATTAGTTCAAGGAGCTGAGTTCCTGCCATCATTTTGGGAGATCTGGATTGAGCTCCTGGATGCCCAGCTTCAGCCTCACTGGCCATTGCATACATTCTGGAGAGTGAACCAATAGATAGAAACTTGCTCTCTTAGCCCTTGCCTTTTTTAAAGATTTATTTTTATTATTATTTTTTCATTGGAAAGGCGGATATACAGAGAGGAGAGACAGAGAGGAAGATCTTCCATCCGATGATTCACTCCCCAAGTGAACGCAACGGGCCGATACTATGCCGATCCGAAGCCAGGAGCCTCTTCCGGGTCTCCCACGCGGGTGCAGGTTCCCAAAGCTTTGGGCCGTCCTCGACTGCTTTCCCGGGCCACAGGCAGGGAGCTGGAAGGGAAGCGGGGCTGCCGGGATTAGAACCGGCGCCCATATGGGATCCTGGGCGTGCAAGGCAAGGACCTTTAACCACTTGCGCCACCGCGCAGGGCCCGCCCCTGCCTTTTAAATAAATAAAATTGTTAAACATAAAAAATCTAACAATACAGGGATGGGCCTTTGGTGTAATGTTAGGATGTCACTTAGAATGTCTCCATCCTGGGTCCAGCGTAGTGGCCTAGTGGGTAAAGTCCTCGCCTTGCATGTGCCAGGATCCCATATGGAAGCCAATCCATATCCCAGCTATTCCACTTCCCTTCCAGCTCCAAGCCTGTGGCCTGGGAAAGCAGTGGAGGAAGGCCCAAAGCCTTGGGTCCCTCTGCACCCATTTGGGAGAGGGAGGAGGCTTCTGGCTCCAGACTTCAGATTGGCTAAGTTCAGACTGTTATGGCCACCTGGGGAGTGAATCAGCAGACAGAAAATCTTTCTCTCTGTCTCTCCTTCTCTCTGTGTAAATATGACTTTTCAATAAAAATAAGTAAATCTTTTTTTTTTCTTTTTTAAAGAATGTCTGCATCCTATATAAAAATGTCTAGCTTTGAGCCCCAGTTCTGCTCCCAATTCCGGCAACTTGCTAATGAGCACCTCTGGGATCACCTGGCACCGCCTAAATGGCAGGCTGGTATTGAGTTCCTGGCTCCTAACTTTGGCCCACTCCTGAATAATGCAATCATCTGGGAAATTAAAGTCATCAACTAAACATCTCTGCCTTTCAGATAAGATAAACATTGCCAAAGAAAATTTAGTATTTTCATTTATTTTTTTAAAAAAGAAAAGAACTTTTTAAGAAACAAGATGTTAAAAACAAGTATACCTGAATTTAAATTCACCATTTCACAATACCTTATCACTTTGCTCCAGTGAAAAGACATCAAGCAGGAACAAAGATATTGCTTGAAGAAACAGGAGATAGTGGCTGTATTCCCACATCATCATAAATGTGTAAGTGGAGGCACTCATCAACAAATAGCAAAACCTCTAGGGAAAACAAGAAACTAAGTATCAGTAGTTTTATTACTAAAAAATCTGAAAGACCGCTGTTATTTATCACAGTTGCAGGTCTGCTAATGACTCAACTGTTTTTAACCACATAATTATTAAATCCTTAAACAGTATTATCTCAAATAGATACTTTAAAGAAAAAGCACCATTGTCCTTTGATGGAAAACTTCAGGGAAATAAAGGAGAAAAATGTAATAAAATCTTCTTTCATCTAAATTGTGATTGTAGATTTGTCTGGTGAGCTTCTACAATTTTGGAAATAACTCCTTTATGACCTGAAAGTAAGCAGGTGTTTCCTGTATTCTAGGAGCACGTGCCTCAGCCTCCTCCAGCCCAGGTCTCTGCTCCTTTCACCATGTGCCTGTATCTCTCCTCAGAGCTTGGAAACTCACAATTGTTTTCCTCTCCTCAAACACAAGGTGTTCACTGACTGTATGAAATACGCCTGGCCAAATCAACTTTGTCCTTCTACATGTCATCTAGGAAAACAGTCAAGGATGGCCTTGGGACCCTGCATCACGTGAGAAACCCAGAATAAGCTCCTGGCTCCTGGCTTCAGATTGGCTCAGCACTGGCCACTGTGGCCATATGGTGAGTGAACCAGTGCATGGAACATCTATCTCCTTCTTGCTGTAAATCTGCCTTTCCAATAAAAATAAATAAACCTTAAAATAAAAACAAAGACATGTGCCACTACTGAAAGGAAGAAAGAATAGTATGTTTTTCACAAAAACTTCAAAAAGAAACTGAAAGCTTTCTTTTTCCCAGACAACCAAGTTTAACTGAAGCTTTTCTTTGGTCCCTGTGGTCTCTTTCAAGGCAGGAATTCCAAACCAAAGATAGGCAAACTGTCAAAGCAATATCCCTTTCAGGCAATTTCAGTGAAAAATGGCTGCCTTTATAGTTACCCTTATTTTAAACATTTCAGATCAGTATTCTGAGACAGTTACTAGGCTTAATTCAAACAATAAAGTAGGAATATTAATTCTCTGAGCTGGCAAGTCTCCTGAGATTCTCTCTAAGCTACCTCAGGTCAGTCATGGAAAACACAGTTGAAGGCAAAGAAGTTAACATTGTTGCCATCTGTTGTCACTCTTCACACATTTTTTTTTTAAGAATAATTGATTTGTGGGCCCCGGCATGGTGGCCTAGCCAGTAAAGTCCTCCCCTTGAACGCACCCGGATCCCATTTGGGCGCCGATCCTGGTCCCGGCTGCTCCACTTCCCCTCCAGCTCCCTGCTTGTGGCCTGGGAAAGCAGTCAAGGACAGTCCAAAGCCTTGGGATCCTGCACCCGTGTGGGAGACCTAGAAGAGGTTCCTGGCTCCTGGCTCTGGATCGGACAGCACTGGCCATTGTGCTTGCTTGGGGAGTGAATCATCAGACAAAACATCTTCCTCTCTGTCTCTCCTTCTCTCTGTATATCTGACTTTGTAGTGAAAATAAATAAATCTTAAAAAAAGAAGAAGAATTGGTTTGTTTTTATTGGAAAAGCAGATTTACAGAGATAAAGAGAGGCAAACAAAGATTTTCTATCCTCTGGTTTACTCCCCAAGTGGCCACAACAGCCAGAGCTGAGCTGATTTGAAGCCAGTTGCCTAGAGAGTCTTTCGGGTCTCTTGTTTCTTTAGCAATGTTCCAGAAATAAGAATAATAATAGGGCCCTTTGCGATAGCATAGTGGTTAAGGTCCTCGCCTTACATGCCCAGGATCCCATATGGGCGCCGGTTCTAATACCAGCAGCCCCGCTTCCCATCCAGCTCCCTGCCTGTGGCCTGGGAAGGCAGTCAAGGACAGCCCAAAGCCTTGGGACCCTGCACCCGCATAGCAGACCTGGAGGAAGCTCCAGGCTCCTAGCTTCAGATTGGATCAGCTCCAGTCGTTGTGGCGACTTGGGGAGTGAACCATTGGACAGAAGACTTTCCTCTTTGTCTCTCCTCCTCTCTGTATATCTGACTTTGCAGTAAAAAAATAAATAAATCTTTAAAAAAAATAGAAGAGTAACAAAGTAATGGTGGAACAGATTAACTTTGAAAATGGCATATCTTCACTTATCTGTCAAGTAACTGCATCTAAATATTGTGTCTCTTTTCTCCTAAAAATCATTCAATGTCTGACTCATATCAATTGTTGGCTCACTGGTTACTTCACAATATCTTATTGCATTAGAGTCAGATTGCTTATGATCTACATCAAAGAATGTAAAACCTAATATACTTGTAAGGCCCTATGCTATTCGGAAACGAGGAGGGAGAGCAGAGAAATCTTACATCACCCTAGAAGATGTGAGGAAGACAGAAGTATAACCTATCAGGATCATAACTGGTAACTCATACATAACAGACTCCAGTCAGCATTAGACAATAGCAAAACTACAAAGGCATATGGGGGGAATCAGGAGTGATCCTGACAACCTCTTAACAGGAGGTCATATGCATAGAGCAGGGGGGACCCCAGAGTGGAGCAGGCAGACAGGAGGAGGCTTGTATCCCAACCCTGAAGACTCCCAGATCCTCACCAAGGACTATCAGAACGAGCACCGAGGACTACATCCCAACTGCCAAGGAGACCACGGGGAAATGGAGTGCCTTTGGCGGCCGAGAACTCTGAGGTCACCCACCCCCATTTGGATCCACCACATGGGATGGAAGAAGCCCAAATCCTGCCTCGCAGGATCCAAGGTCATCAGAACAACAACCAGGAGCACTGAGCAGTCCACAGAAACAGAAGAACAGTAAACTTCCTTCGTAACTAGGGAGAGGAGCTTTCTCTGGTCTTTGCCTGGTTCCAACTTTGGGTCCCCACCCTCACTGGCAATGACCATCAGGATCGCTCCGGAAACCCCTCAAAATAAACAAACAAACAAACAAAAACTAGAATAGACAGAGAACAGCAAGGAAAGCTTAGAAACAGACAGGAAACAGGCAGTGGGGATGCACTTTAACTCACTGGGTGGGACACAAAGACTAGTTACTCCTCACTAGGGTATTGAGGATTTCTCTGCACACCCCTCCTAAAACTGTTCACCTAAACTGCTGACATGTCTTGTTAGAGTTATGGAGTTAGACTACCCGTAAAACAGCCAGGTTCAGCAAAATCATGCTTCAACGCTATAGACTGCTAAATACTAAAATTAAAATAGACATGAGACAGCTGAATAGTAATCTATAGCCATTTTAAGGTGTATAGAAACCAGTTATATATAAATTAATAATTGAAATGTCAATGTAGAAGTCACAGGTTGTGGTTCAGAACTTGCATTCGTTTTTTTTTCTCTCCTTTAACATACTGGTTACTCAATACCATGTCAACTAATTCCACAATGTTATAAAATGTTACTGATATAATGTCAGGGCTTTTAATTGATCGGGATGATACTCTGCCAGCTCTACCTTCAGACCAGAGATGAACTTATCTGGACAATAAGACGCTGGACTTTATACTTGGTAGATACTTGCAATGAAAGAATCTCAACTGAATTTGAACTGTGGTAATGCAACAAGGTGGAGGAATCCACCATGTGGGGGAGGTTTGGGGAGGGATGGGGGAATCCCAGTGCCTATAAAACTGTGTCACATAATGCAATTAATCAATAAAAAAATCATTTAATGTCTACAGAGAGAGTAAACCATTTGATAACAAAAAAAATGATATCTTTTTTATGTAGTAACCAAATTTCAATGAATGTAACTTTCAATAGGTCTAGGTTTAAAATTATGTACCACACTTGCAGTAAATCAGAATTAACTATGATGGGTGAACAGACAGGTATCTTACCTCTGCATACGTATTTAAGTTGCTTTTTAAATAGCCTGTAAGTGCAGCGACTTGGCATGCAAAATAGGGTAGTGCCCAGTTTTCTCTTAAAGGAATGGAGTATTCAATTCTTGTTGTATCTACCCTAAAATAAGTCACAGATGAACATTAAAAGCAAGACATTACATTGGTGTAACACTATACTTTCCAAAGCACTTTTACAAACAGCTGATTGTTCTCTATAACAACTGTGTGACAGAGATACAGGCAGATTTAACACTATCTATGAGAGAGCATCATGGAACAAATTAACAGCATCCCACCGACCCAGAAGATGTAGTGCTGCTCAGTGCTGCGGTTGAACACGTGGCCCTCAGTGACAACCTGAAAAAGCTACACCTGCTTACAGCCCTGTGCTGCCATACAGCTTGCTGTCTAAAGCAGCCTTGATATCACAGCCCATCTTCCTTCTTCTAACCAAAGGGAACCTCTCAGAGGAATACTATCAGGCATACAGCACTGGCAGCCCAGCTTATCCAAAGCTTTACCCTCCTTTACAAAAGGAACATGAAGCTCAGAGATGTGATAAAACTTAATCAAGGTCATATGGCTAGTACGTGGTGGTGTAACTGGGATTATGATACATTTCTTCCAGTACGTAGAGTTTACTAATCTGATTGTCAGAGAGTATGTTATCCAGAATGAACATTACCCTAGACTTTTACATGATACATTGAGAGTGTTCTGAAAATGCCCAGAATTACAAATGTAGAAATGCCTCTGTCAGCTCTTCCTAAGTTTCTGCTTCATTAGATCTCAGCAGGAGCACGTTGTCTCCTAACACCACAACAAAACTAACTCACCTAAAATCATTACATGCAACTATTTTCCATTCACAAATAATTTTGTTCAGTCCACAGCCATGTGACACACTAATGCACACAGTTACACTAGTGAATTATATTTCCAGCTATACTTAACATGAACAACAGAAAACAGTAACACATGCTGTGTGACTCCCATTTTATAAAATTCTAGAAAATGCAAATGTACATATAGTGAGAGAAAGCTGGATCACTGGTTCCCTGAGCACAACAGTATTAAGTGCGTATGGGTGAGAGCAAAGAACGAATTAGAAAGGACAAAAGGAAATTTCTGGGGGATGATGGCAATGTTTATTACATCAGTTGTGTTAAAGATCTCCTATGTCCAAACATGTAAATTAGGGAAATAGTATACAATAATGTTCAGTTCATTTTATGTCAATTACACTTCAATAAAGCTATTAAAAAGCACTAGATATTCACACACACACATGTTGTTCATAGAAGGCATGTGGAGTATTTTTGCATTTATACATTTACAAAAACACGACCACATGTGAGAATTAAATGAAATAAAAATTGTCAACAATTTAGCAGTGCCTAGAATCAAATAAACACTCAATAATGATATTAATCTTTTGTAATTCTGTAATGAATGATTTTTACAAAACATACAGAGACATATTTCCCACCTACATGGATTAGTAAAGAACACTTAACAAGGATGGTGTTACAGTACAGCAAAGGCTGCCTCCCAGCTAAGTGCCAGTTCATGTCCTGGCTGCTCCTCTTGTGACCCAGTTCCCTGTTAATGACCCTGAGAAAGCAGTGGAAGACAGTTCCATGTTTGGCATCTATGTGGGATAGGCAGACAGAAACCCTAGCACTAGCTACTTTTGGGTCTCCGACGCAGTGCAGGATCCCAAGGCTTTGGACCATCCTCGACTGCTTTTTCAGGCCACAAGCAGGGAGCTGGATGGGAAGTGGAGCTTCCAGGATTAGAACTGGCGCCAATATGGGATTCCAGTGTGTTCAAGGTGAGAGCTTTAGCTGCTATGCTATTGGGCTGGGAAAACATTCGAGGACAGCCCAAAACCTTGGGACCCTGCACAAACACGGGAGACTCAGAAGAAGCTCCTGGCTCTGGGCTTCAGATTGGCTCAGCTCTGGCTGTTGAGGCCATTTAGGGAGTGAATCATCAGAAGGAATATCTTTCCCTCTGTCTCTCCTCCTCTCTGTATATCTGACTTTCCAAATAAATAAATATTTTTTAAAAAGTCAACTCTCAAAAAAAAAAAACCCAATGAAATTAATATGTCATAATGAAGGTGAGGAGGAAGGACTCTACCAACAAGTCCGAGAGCCTGATGCTAACATGTTGATCCTTGTAATTCCTGTCAATAGAGTTACCCGCTACTCACAGATCAATGTAGCAAAATCTGTGTCAAATACAAGTTGGGTATTTGGAAGAGTGGCAATGAATCTGTGCTCTGTGCATTCCAGGATAGATTGAGTAGGATCTCTCTAGGCCATTTCCACCACCTACAGGGGACAACCTGGATGAGCATCCAGCAACCCTTATAGACAGCCATGAGATCAGCAAAGGCTCTGAATTCAATTTTGCATTTTCATTTTAATAACATATGAGACTAGTCATGGCAGTTCAGTGAGTCAGGGTGCAGCTTCAGGTGCCAGAGCTCTAGCTACATCACTGCCAACCCAACTTTCTGCTAATGTATCCTGGGAGGCAGCAATGACAGCCAAGTACTTGAAACCCTGTCATCCATGTGGGAGAACTGGAGTTTCAAGCTCCTGGCTTTGGTCTGGCCGACCTCTGGCTTTTGTAATCATCTGGGGAGTGAATAATTAGATTCAATAGTCACTCTGACTTTGAAGTAGTTTAAAATAAATATTCTATTTCACTGGTAGGAGTATTACTATTATTACTATTATTTTAAAGATTTATTTATTTTTATTGCAACGTCAGATATACAGAGAGGAGAGAGAGAGGAATATCTTCTGTCCAATGGTTAACTCTCCAGTGGCCACAACAGCCCATGCTGTGCCGATCCAAAGCTAGGAGCCAGGAGCCTTCTCCTACTCTTCCATGCAAGTGCAGGGTCCCAAGGCTTTGGGCCATCCTCAACTGCTTTCCCAGGCCACAAGCAGGGAGCTAAATGGGAAGCAGGGCTGCAAGAACACAAATCGGCACCCATTTGGAATCCTGGTGTATGCAGGCGAGGACTTGAGCCACAGGCTAGCATGTAGACCCCACTATTATTATTCTTTAAAAGACTTACTTATGTGAAGGCAGAGTTTCAGAGAGTAACAGAAGGAGGGAGGGAAGATAGAGAAAGACAAAGATCCCACTGATTCACTTCCAGACCTAAAGTTCTTTCTAAAGATACAACTTCCGTATTACAGAAACAGGACATAAGAGTAACTGTTATGGCCCAACGCAATATTCTAGTGGCTAGATCCTCCCCTTGCATGTGCCTGGATCCCATAAGGACATCAGTTCCTATCCAGTTGCTCCACTTCCCATCCAGCTCCCTGCTTGTGGTTTGGGAAAGAAGCAGAAGAAGGCCCAAGGCCTTGGGACTCTACCCACATGTGGGAGAACAGAAGAAGCTTCTGACTGCAGATCACTCAGCTCTGCCTGTTGTGGCCACCTGGGGAGCAAACCTGCAGATGCAAAGATCTTTCTCTTTCCTTTCTCTGTAAATTTGCTTTTCCAATAAAAATAAATAAATCTTACCAAAAATCAAAAACAAAAAACAAACAAACAAAAAACCTGGAGGAGACCGGACAAAAACAGGTACCAACATGGGATGATGGCACCTGAAGGTGGAAGGTTAGCCTGTTGAGCCACAATGTCGGCCTCTGGCTGCTCCACTTTCAACACAGCTCCCTGCTAATGCACCTGGGAAAGTGACAGAAGAGTGTCAAAGAGTCCGGCGGAGTGGCCTAGTGGCTAAAGTCCCTGCCTTGGGCATGCCAGGACCCCATATGGGCACCAGTTCCAATCCCAGTAGCTCTACTTCCCATCCAGCTCCCTGCTTGTGGCCTGGGAAAGCAGTTGAGGATGGTCCAAAGCCTTGGGACCCTGCACCCACGTGGAAGACCCAGAAGTAGCTCCTGGCTCCTGGCTTCAGATTGGCCCAGCACGGGCCTTTGCGGTCACTTGGGGAGTGAATCATAAGACAGAAGATCTTCCTCTCTGTCTCTCCTTCTCTCTGTATATCTGACTTTGCAATAAAAATAAATAAATCTTAAAAAAAAAAAGAGGGTCAAACTATGTGGACCACTACATAAAAGTGGGGACCTAAAATAAACTCTTGGCTGCAGACTTTGGATTGGCCTGGTCCTTCCTTTTCTTTTTCTTTAAGAGGACTTGAATCTTGGATGTATTGACTATTTTTTTTCTTTTAGGTTTATTTTATTTTATTGCAAAGTCATATATACAGAGAGAAGAAAAGACAGAGAGGAAGATCTTTTGTCCGATGATTCACTCTCCAAGTGGTCACAATGGCTGCAGCTGAGTCAATCCAAAGCCAGCAGCCCGGAGCTTGTTCCAGGTTTCCCATGTGGGTGCAGGGTCCCAAAGCTTTGGGCCGTTCTCAACTGCTTTCCCAGACTACAAGAGAGCTGGATGGGAAGCAAGGTGGGCAGGATCACAACCGGGGCCCATATGGGATCCTGGCGTGTGCAAGGACTTTAGCTGTTAGGCTACTGTGCCAGGCACGCTATCATGGCCATTTCAGGAGTGAAATAGCAGATGGACAATCTCTGTGTGTCTCATTTGATCTACCTGCATTTCAGATAAATAAACAAACTTCTAAAACAAAACAAGGTAAGTTGTTGAGACAGGACATCCAGCTCTGTGGTTCAGATGGCCATGTAGCTAACCTGGAGCTGATTTCCCGGCTTGGTTCCTGAATCCAGCCTCCTGCCAACACAGTCCCTGTGATGCAGCAGCACAGCTCAGGGAACTGCGTTCCTGCCACCCCTGTGGGAGACTCAAATTGTAACTACTCATGAGTAGTCAGGGCCACTAACACCATTGGAAAAGTGAGGAGATACACAGGATCTCCCTTTTGTGACATGTCACAATCGCTCTATTTCAAAGAAGCTCTACACCCATTTTTAAAATACCTATTTATTGGGCCTGGCACAGTGGTGCACTGGTTAAGGTCCTCGCCTTGCACGCCCAGGATCCCATATGGGCGCTGGTTCTATCCCGGCAGCCCTGCTTCCCTTCCAGCTCCCTGCCTGTGGCCTGGGAAAGCAGTCGAGGACGGCCCAAGGCTTTGGGACCCTGCACCCCTGTGGGAGACCCAGAAGAGATTCCTGGCTTCGGATCGGCATAGTATCGGCCGTTGCGCTCACTTGGGGAGTGAATCATCGGACAGAGGATCTTCTTCTCTGTCTCTCCTCTCTGTGTATCCGCCTTTCCAATAAAAATAAAGTAAATCTTTAAAAAAAATATACCTACTTATTTATGAAGGCTGGCATAGTGGTACAACAACCTAATCTTCTGTCCTATGAGTTGGCATCTCATATGGAAACCAGTTCATATCCTAGTTCCTCTACTTCCAATCCCGTTCTCTGCTTGTGGCCTGGAAAGCAGTGGAGGATGGCCCAAGTCCTCAGGACCCTGCACTCATGTGAGAGACCCAAAGAAAACTCCTGCTCCCAGCTTTGGATCAGCTCATCTCTGGTCATTGTGCCATTTCAGGAGGAAACCAGCTGATGAAAGACCTTCCTTTTCTGTCTCTACTTCTCTCTCTGTATAATCTGCCTCTCAAACAGAAATAAATCTTTACAATACAATTATTTTTCTAAAAGTCAAAAGTACAGCCTGCAGTTGAGTTAAGCCAGCCTGCAGCACTCCACTCCATACCGGTGCCAGCTCAAGTCTCAGCTATTCCACTTTCACCCCAGGACCAAGCTAACACCTGGGAAAGCAACAGAGAACACCCAGAGCAAGCCGACCCTTGATTTTGGCCTATCGTGGCTCAGGTCATGATGGCTACTGGGCCATCTTTTATTTTTCTTTTTAAAAAGATTCATTTACTTGGAAGCCAGAGTTACAGAGAGAGCAAGAGACAGACAGAGAGAGAGATCTTCCACCTGCTGCTTCATTCCTCAGATGGTTGCATAGCCAGAGTTGGGCCAGCCTGAATCCAGGAGCCAGGAAGTTCATCCAAATCTCCCTTGTGTATGGCAAGGGCCATCTTTCACTGCTTTCCCTAAGCCATCAGCAGGAAGTTGGATAGTAAGTGGCATAGCCGGGACAAGAACATATGGGATGCTGGTGTCATAAGTGGAAGCTTTACCTACTGTGCCACAATGTCAGCTTATGCCTTTTTTTTTTTTGCAATTTTAAAATATATATATATATATATATATATATCTGAAAGAAACACTGGGGTGGGGTGGGGGAGAGAAGGAGTCTTCCATATGCTGCCTGAGTTGAGCCAAGCAATAGCCAATAACTCAAACCAGATCTCCCACATGAGTGGTAAAATCGCTCAAACCATCATCTACTGCTTCTCAGGGTGAGCATTAGAAGACAGAATTGGAAATGGAGCCAGAACTTGAACCCAAGCACCTAGGACTTGAACCCAAGCAGAGTCTCAACTACTATACCAACTCTAGCACTCCCATTCTCCTTTTTTCTTGCTATTAAAAAACATGAAGCTATTCTGATCACTAAAGGGGATGGGTTAACTCAAAGCATGTGGTTATATATTGGCAGAGTCATTATCTACAGTAGTTAGCAGTGATATATCTTAGGTCTTCAAGAAATTGTATCAGGGCCCAGTGCCGTGGCCTAGCAGCTAAAGTCCTGGCTTTGAACATGCCGCGATCCCATACGGGCGCCGGTTGGGTGCCGGTTCTAACACCGGAGGCCCTGCTTCCCATTTGGCTCACTGCTTGTGGCCTGGGAAAGCAGTTGAGGATGGCCCAAAGCCTTGGGACCCTGCACCCACGTGGAAGACCCAGAAGTAGCTCCTGGCTTCAGATCAGCACAGCACAGGCTGTTGCGGTCACTTGGGGAGTGAAACATCAGACGGAAAATATTTCTGTCTCTCCACCTCTCTATATATATCTGACTTTGCAATAAAAATAAATAAATCTTTAAAAAAAATGCATCACAAATTTTTTAATGTTTTTGTTTTTGAGAGGTACAGAGAAAGATGAACACACACGTGTGCCCATGCATATGCATGCATTTACACACACACACAAACAGATCTTCCACCCTCTGGATTACTCTCTAAATGTTTGTGCTGGCTGAGAATGGGATGGGTCAACATGAGAATCTAGGTACTCAATACAGGCCCTATACATGGGTGGCAGGAATCAAATCCCTCAAGCTGTTGCCAGTGTCCCCCAGGCACACATTAGCAGGAAGCTGCCCTCAGAAGCCAGAGCAAGGCATTGATGTCAGGTATTGCCATGGGACACAAGGATATCTACCAGCATCTTAATCACTGGGCTGAACACTGATTAAAAATTGATGATTAAAATCTGATTATTAAAAACTGACGATTAAAAAAGAAAGAAACAATACATCTATGGAAACCAATGCCACCAAGTCTGAAAATGTTTTTCAACTATTGTATGACAAAGGTGGTGGCTTCAGACAACACAAAGGTCACTGGGACTGCCTTCTCTGCTCAGTTTGTCTAAGCTAAACCAGGGGTCTGGTGTTCCTTACACCCTCACCCACTGCTGATGTTATCTACTTCCTCACTGCTTCAAGCAGGCCACAGTGCAACAAATCCTTCTCAGGCTTTACCTCTCGGTGCCTTCCCCTTCTGCAGCAGCTGTGGAAGCTGTCTGCAGGAACACTGATTGTTAGTGAAGGTCGCATGTGCCGTACAACATGATACAATCACAAGTAAGATACCTTACCAAGTTCATAGACTAGGGAGAATGGTGGGAATTCATCAGATTAGGGGGAATTTTCAAAACTGCCACAGCCAAAAATGTACAAAACGTAAGAGACCTTTCTTACCTATTAATAATGAACCATGCAACAGTAAGCATTCCTGCTAGCCATGTTCCACTCATAAGCCAACTTGTAACAAATAAAGCAGTAACATAAATTCCTTGCAATCCAAAGACAATGCCAATATAAAAATACACAGGTTCAATAATCTCCTACATGAAAAAAAGGAACAGATAAGCACATATTACACAACTTGAAAATGCATAAATACATGAGAAGACAAATATTAAGATCAAAAGAAAAATACATACATTGCTACCAGTTGCTTGATATAAAACGCTGGCAATAAGTTCTGGATATAGAGACATTTGTTGCACTGCATTTATAGTTTTCAGGGACACAGTTTTGTTATTGTGTGTCAATTCATAAACACCTGAAAACAGAAAAGTTTTTCTCCAGATTATTTATTCTGTTGTCATAACATGTAATTCATTGATTATTAAATATTTAGCATCACAATCAAGGAAACTTCAAAATGTAACTTTCATTTTTCCATTTTTTATGAAGGACAAATAAAGAGAAATAACTAATTCTGAGGTAAATCAACTAATATAGAAGAAAAACGATTTATTTTAGAAAAATATTGGTATTAAAAATGCACATTGGAGACAAGAATTCAGTGTAGCAGCCACCACGGCCATGTTTCCTATCAGAAGACCTGGAGACAACACCTGGCTCCAGTTCTAGTTCCTGTTCACGCAGCCTCTGTAAGGCAGGGTGCATACCTCACACAGTGGAGTTCCAGGCCCCCATGTGGTACTCTGCACATGTGTGTCCAGCTCCTGAATTCAGTCTCAGCCCAGTCCTGACTGTGGCAGGTATTAATAAAATGAACCATAAGACTGGGGCTCTTCCTAAATATCTGTCTCTCAAATTCAGGAGAAAAATGTAAAACAAAAACTGTACATATCATACCTCTTTCAAATGAAGGTGCCTTTAGCATATCTTTATAATATGAGTAATAAATGGCACTGTCACCTTGAAAAGTGATTTCCCGCTCAAGTTCCTAAAAGAAATGAAAAGATTATTTAAATGCCAGTCCCTCAAAATTTCACCTGCAATCTTCCTTTTTCCCTCCACATTTTCTAAATTAGCACATTTTTGTCTCTTTATTCACACTACTAATGACTAGTGTCTAGTGTCCACATTAATGAGGAAGTCAGTCTTTTTAAGAATTTTAATAACTATTTTAAAGAAATACTTAAGCTTTCAGAAATATAGGAACTTAAAATGTAAACAAAAAGAATGTCCTAAAGATAGTGAGATTACCAAGGCAAGTAATAACAAATGGTAGCTTAAGGTTTTAGAAGTACACAATAGTAAAACTGGCAAGTCCAAGGTCGGGCCCGGCTCCATGCTCAGAGCCCTGATTTCAGCCATCACGAACATGTGATAAGCTGTTGGGGCCTGCTGAGCTCCAGAGGCTGCTCACTTCCAGGTGAGTACACTGAGTGGAAAACTGGAGAACAGGGTGGGCCCAGGCTCCACCACTGCCAACATTAGGATCGAGAGGGGATGATGTTGGGATCGGGAGGTAGAACTTCTAGCAGCCTGTTGGCTGCTTGCATGTCCAACTCCATGCTCAGAGCCCTGAATGCAGCCGGTGGTGAGCTCTGGGTTTTGGAGCTATGAATTGCTGCCTAGGTATCTCCATGTTGGGCCCACTGTGCTTCTGGGTTGTGAATCAATCCTGCAGACTCCCAACAACAGAGTAAAATTTCCTTTGAAGGTAAGCGAGGGTACTGAGACGTGGTAGTTTGGAAGAGGGGGACCACATGATCCTTATGGGTCAGAATGATAAATCACCCTCCTTTGTGTGTAGAACTTGTTATCACCGAACAATGCTAACCACCGTACACCAGTCCATGCAAATGGTAAGGCTGGGGGCTTGTCTAGCAGGACAAGATCATAGTACCTGACAAAATGATGGATCAGCAGACGGGTTACATTAGGCAGGGCCATGACATTAACCAGTAAACGAGAGAACCATTTCTGGAGGTAGATTCTGTGGAGGACATGTGGGCCAAACCCTGTGGGAATGATAGTCCCATGGGTTAGCTCAAGAGTTGGGGTGGTGATGCACTAAGCTGGGTATGACCATGGAACCTGCCATCACTCACAGGTAAAGGAACCAACAGTCTGGGCAGGTCAAGGCAGCAGAACCCGAATTCCCATCTTAAACAGGGTGTGGGAGCCCAGCATGGTGGCCTAGCGGCTAAAGGCCTCACCTTGAATGCACCGGGATCCCATATCGGCACCGGTTCTAATCCTGGCAGTTCCACTTCCCATCCAGCTCCCTGCTTGTGTCCTGGGAAAGCAGTAGAGGACGGCCCAAAGCTTTGGGAACCTGCCCCCGTGTGGGATACTCGAAACAAGTCCTGGATCCTGGTTTTGGATCGGCATAGCATCGGCCCGTTGCGCTCACTTGGGGATTGAATCATCGGACAGAAGATCTTCCTCTCTGTCTCTCCTCCTCTCTGCATATCTGACTTTCCAATAAATAAATAAATCTTAAAAAAAAAGAAAGGGTGTGGGATGGGCCAGACTGCAATGTTCACCAGCTCATACAAGGTCAATTGGAATGCTAGACTATGCTGGACACTGGCCTAACACCCAATGGAGTATATGAGATCTGGGTCAGGGAATGGGTCAAACGGAGGAACTATGGAAACTCCCATGGTGGGTCATAGCTCCCACTGGTGAACACATGGTCCAGGCCAGGGGGTCAGACAAGCTTGGTAAAGTAGCTCCAATGGCTGGCTAATGTATGGGTTGGTAATGCAAGAGGGTGGATCAGGCAGGGCCGAGCAAACCTTAGCTCACAAGCAAAAACAGAAATCAGGATGGAGCACAAGTCATGCCAAGCTAAGCTCTTACACCTACAGGTCTGTATGATCCAGGGATGCTAGGCCACATTATCTAAGGCAAAGGCCAATACAGGTAAGTGAGGGGTTATGCCAAGCTGGGTCAGAGAAACCACTGGCATGCACGCAATCAATAGCTGGGAACAAGCACAGTTGGGGGGGACTAAGAGGACACCCTCGTTCGGTTGGGGTTCCCACCGAGGAGCAAGGGGCTGGAGTGGGGAGGACTGCATTCTGGTCTGCACATGGCTGCAGTCTCCATTGGCACAAGTGTGGACTGGGACTGGATGCTCTGAGCCGGGCTAGACTCCAGCACCACCTGGTGCTCTGGAGGACCAGGATAGATGTAGGATGGACTAGGCTAGGACTCTGTCCCTACTGAGCCATGTGTGAGCCGTTTTTGGGTATGGACGAGCCTTGGCTGGGCTAAAATATCCAACAGTAAGAACCAGAATGGGTTGAAGGCAAGTCAGAAAAAGCCACTGTCCCTGCCAGGACAGGAAGTAGACTGAGTAGGGCTGGCCCATGGGCCTACCTGGCATTGGGAGAGGTTCTGATGGAGGAACTTGGGCTACTCCTCTGTCAGGACACAGTCCACACAGGTGAGCCAAGAATCACAATAATGAACATCCCAGACAGGCCAGGGAAAGGTACCCACCAGCATACATTTGGCACAGGTCAGGGGCAGACCAGGCTGAACCAGTTCACATCAGCCACTGATGATCCCAGCGCCACAACAGTGTGGGTCAGGCCAGGTTCGGTCGCAACACATATCAGTACACAGTATGGCTAGGACAGGATACACACTGTGCTGGGCTAGGTTATAACCCTCACCAGCTGGAACTGGGGGTGGGCCGGGCCGGGCCAGGCTACAGAACCCACTAACAAATGCCAAGGTTAGGCGAGCCATGCCAGACTAGGCAGTAACGCTAGTAGGAACCAGGGAGGGAGGGGGTAAAACTGGTAGGGGGAATGTGGAGGGCCCCCAGCTGGAACACCTCACCCAATGAAGAGCATGAGTTGGGATGGGGGCAAACTAGACCAAGCAGGGCTACAACACCTGTGGGCCTCATGTGAGCCAGAACAGGGAAGAGCCAGGCTTGGTTGACTCTTCCTAATAGTGCAAGCATAAATCAGTGGGTGAGGGTTGGTTGGGCTTTGCCGCAGCATCAGATAGCAGATGCTGGCACCAGTGGCTAATCTCTCAAGTTAAACTCCAGAACCACCTGGAGAGTGCATGATCCGGGAGTGGGAGTGGACCCATTAGGAAAACAGTGGGAACCTCCCTCTTGGGTTGCCACTCTGACTGGAGAGCATGAAAACCAGGACTGGGGCACGGGTAGCTGGACAGAATGACACCCACCAACATGTGTGTGGGCTGGATAGTGGAGCTAGATAGTGGGCTGAACCAGGCTTCAATGCCCATTAACACATAGGAGAGCTGAATGGGATGTGGGACAGACTGGACCAGTCTGCTGTACATACTGGCAAGCACAGGAACAAGGGTAGGGGGCAGGTCTGGTGAAGGTTATTGCAGGTCGCTCCGACTAGGTTGTGGCTCCCACTGGTTTATGTGAGGGCCGAGTGTGTGCTGGGCAGAATCAGGCTGAATCAGGCTGGACTGCAACACCTATTGGTTTGTGTGGAAGACAAGGCTGGAAACAGAACTGACCCAGCAATTGCAACCACCAGCATATGCATAAGCTGATTGGGGCGATGGACTGTGTTGGACCCGGTACTGGCATGCACACACAGAATCAGGTCTGGGATCACCTCAGACAAAGTTTCTTTGGCAATCTCCCCAATCGAACTGCCGGACTCAGAACCCCAACCATGAAGAGAAGTGCAGGTTCTATGGTCTGCCATGGAGTGCAAGTGCCAGAGCCGAGCGTCCTCAGAGGCTCAAACGGAGCAGTGGAGACCATAACCAGGTTCACATGGAGGATATGGCAGTCCATCGGAACTTGGAAAGGACACTTGGTACCACAACAGAGGACAGAACAAATCAATGAACTACCCCAGCCATAGGTTGGCAGTGAAAATCCGGGCAAATGTGGACTATGTCAATCAGTGGATTCTGCAGCAATTTAATCATGCTTGTAATGGTGAGAGTGGCTGCAATTCATAACTGTTCAACTATCAAAACCACTTGAGCAAGACCCTCAGAGCATGCCCCACATCATGGACCCTGGATGGGTGGGAAGCTGGATGGGGCTTCTCCCTTTATCTCCCCTTTTACCCCAGAAACAGAAAAAATGTGGAAATAATAGTCTTACCCACTTTCCTGTAGCCCTTGACCCTTTGTGTCCTAATTAACTATGTAAAATTTTTTATAAAGTATACAATAAAAAGGTAAAATAAGAGGAATGCAGTATTTCCTCTTAATATTCCACATTTCTTTCTGTTCAGAACCCCAAGTTCTACTTTTCAAGAGCTGCCCACACTTGCTCAGTGCTTTTCAAGTGAACTTCCAAAACTAAAGCAAGTCTTAAAGACCCTAGGATTAGGCTATGCAAAACCAGGAATGCATTAGTCAAAACATTAAGAAGCTTGTACTTTCCATGCCAAATCAAACATTCATGGATCTATCATCTTTCAAGCCAAAAGTTAATTTGTTTTCATGCATATTATCAACAAATACAAAAAGAAAGGCATCATGCATGAGTGGGAACACCTAGATGGTAGACTGTGTAAGGTCTCTGAAACCATTTGGTCTGGTCCTCTCAAGGCAATTGTGAACAATGTCACAGATATCCCAATGGCCCTCAGCACTCCTGCATGAAGTCTGAACTAGTCAGACACCAATAGGTGTCATCCGAAAGAGCACTGCAGTTAAAATTCTGAGAAAGGCTGGATTAAACTAAGTTAGATGAGTTTTGTTGTTTTATTCCAAGACGTCTAAGAGATTTTTCTTTAAAGACTGATTTATTTTATTTGAAAGGAAGAGTTACACACAGAGAGATAGAAATGGATCTTCCATTTCCTGGTTCACTCCCCAAATGGACACAACTGGGGCTGGACCAGAATGAAACTAGGAGCCAGGAGCTAAGGACTTCATCTGGGTTTCCCATGTGAGCGTAGGGGTCCAAGCACTGGGGCCAGCTGCTGCTGCTTTCCCAGGAACATTAGTAGGAAGCTGAACTGAAAATGGAGCAGCTGGCATCAAAGCAGCACCAATATGGATGCCAACGACGCAGGTGACAGCATGACCAACTACACCATGGTGCCAGCCCCAACTTTTTGGAGTTTTACTGCATACTGTACACTGTAAATCTACAAGAGAAAATTCTGTTCAGATCTACTTAGCCAATAAACTCTTTATAACCCCATTTAAAGCTTGCTATGGTTTCAATGTTTCTGTTTGGAAATGGGGTCTTTGAGAGGTGATTAGTGCTATTATAAACATGAGTGAAAGGTTATTTTTCATAAACTCTCCAAATACATCTATCATGCTAGGGGCTTCTGACTCATCCCAGGTTTCCCACGTTGGTGTCAGGGACTCAGCTACTGGAAGCATTACCTGCTGATATACACTTTCGTAAAAAGATTATGTATTTGAAATGCAGAAACAGCAGCCAGTATTATGGCACAACAGGTAAAGCCACTGGCTACAACACCAGTATCCCACATGGGCACCAGTTGAAGTCCTAGCTGTTCCACTTCCAATCCAGCGCCCTGCTAGTGCAGCCGGAACAGCAGTTACAGATGGACTGGGGCCATGTAACCCTGTAAAAAACCCAGAAGAAACTCCTGGCTCATGGCTGCAGTTTGGCCCAGTCTTGGATACAGATGGAAAATCTTTTTGTCTCTCTCTCTATATATAACTCCGCCCCTCAGAAAAATAAAAAATAAATCTTTTATTTTTAAAAAATAGAAAGACATAAATCTTAATTTAAAAAAAAAGCAGAAAAAGAATAATTTAGCTGTTTAGAGGCCTGGATTCCACATCAGAGCGGCTGCCTTTAGATTAACTACTGCTGCATGACCTTGGAGGCAGCAGTATCGGCTCCCACCATTGGGCTCCTGCTGGTCATGTGGAGACCTGTATCCAACTCCCAACTCCAGCTTCGCTCGGACAATAAACATGATGTGGGCAGGGTAACATTATCTTTGAAAAACAATTTTTAAATGAGATATCTGACTTTCCTATAAAAAAGTAAATCTTTAAAAAGGTGATAATAAATAAATCTTTTTTAAAACAAACATTTTAATGCTAGAATTTATACAAAACTTTTAAATTGTCAGCTATCAATCTATTAAAAGTATAACTAAATTAGATATAACATTTCATTGTCATCAGAAGATTATGATTGATAAATGAAAACATTGTCACAGCTTGTAATCTGTAAAATATCCTGCTAAAGATTTTAACATTAATAATGTCACTATGGTCTCAAAAAAGAACACAGTATTGTTGCCAATAAAAAAGCACTTGTTACCTTTCTGTATATTTTAACCTTCCAGAAAAACAGCACCCAAATTATCAAATACTGAAACAACTTCAATGTACTCAAAAGTTTTCTTACCTGCCTGTTGGAAAACCAAAATTTCCTTTCATGGTATGCTGATAAGTAGAGCGCATACATCATGCCACTAGTGATTGCTGCCAGACAGCCAATGAATATCTTTGCAAAGCGCTGAAATAACACATCTGAAAAAGCATATGAAAGGTTACCCAAAGGTAATAGGTACTCTTCATACGATGTGATGAAAACTGCCTTCTAACGCTGGTATTCCTACCAAAAATTCATAACCTCAGCTTAGTCATGATGAGGAAAATATCAGATAAAGTCCCATAGAGAACATTCTGCAATACAAATACTTCCATGGAATCCAGATGACTTAAAACAAGGCACATTTGAAAAAATGTCACAGCTAACAGGGGCCTAAGGAGACATGACAATGAAATGTAACAGTGGCCAGATGGGATTCTGGAACAGAAAAAAACACCAGGTGAAAATTAAGAAGATTCCATATAGATACCAGTTCTAACCCCGCTTCCTATCTAGCTCCCTGCTTGTGGTCTGGAAAAGTAGTTGAGGGCAGCCCAAGGCCTTGGAACCCTGCACCTGCATGGGAGACTCAGAAGAAGCTCCTGGATCCTGGCTTTGGATCAGCTCAGTTCTTGCTATTGCAGCCACCTAGAGAGTGAATCAGTGGATGGAGGATCATTCTCTCTGTCTCTTCCCTCTGCAAATCTGACTTTCCAATAAAAAATAAATCTTTATTTACAAAAAACAAGAAAGAAAAGTAGGGAAATCTGGAGCTGACATGATGGCTCAATTTGTTAATTTTCCTTTTGCAAGCACCAGGATCTCATATGGATATCATCTTATGTCCCGGCTGCTCTATTTCTCATCTAGCACCCTGCCTGTGGCTTGGGACAGCAGTGGAGGATGATCAGAAACGTTGGGATCCTGCACCTGCATGGGAGACCAGAAGAAAGCTCCTGGCTCTGGCTTGGCTTAGCCATTGCAGCTATTTGGGGAGTGAACCAGCAGATCAAAGATCTTTCTGTCTTTCCTTCTCTCCATAAATCAATGTTTCCAATAAAAATAAATAATCTTAAAAATAAAGAAGAAGAAGAAAAAGAAATAAAAAGAAACGCTGTCTTGCATCACGTCAGGGTGATCACAGCACCCACAGGTATCCACAAGATCTAGGGCTGGTAATGGGTTTGGTAGAGTATCTTAGGAAACTCCTCTGCTAGGTCACAGTTCCTGCTGGTGAGCACAAGAGCTGAGGCTGGGACAGGTTAGGCCCGGCTGGGCTGCAGAAACTGTCAGCATATATGTGGGCCAGGTCTAGGGGCAGGTTGGAATAAGCAAGTCCACAGCACACACTGGCAAGAGTGAGAGCCAGAACAGGGTGTGGGATAAGCCAGGTTGGGTCACATCACCCACCAATTCACATAAGGGCCAGGCTGCAGCACCAACAAACGCCGATACCAACTCAGGCTGGGCTGCAACACCCGCTGGCATGCACAAGACCCAGGCTTGGGAGTGGGCCTGGAAGAGGAATTTCAGGGACTCTCCTGCTAGGTCACTGCTTCCACTGGTTAAATGTGAGAGATAGGACTGGGGACAGGCTGAGTCAAGAAGGAATACCTGACCTCCTGGCATGCATAAGAGCCAAAATGGGTGTGGGCTGGCTGGACTAGGTCACAGCACCCACTGGCAAGTCCCAGGACTGGGTGTAATGCATGACAGGATGGACCACAGTACTACCTGGAAAACACAAAATCCAGGGCTTAGAGTGGCCTGGTAGGAGAACTATGGGCACTCCCTGAAAGGCTGCAGCTTTCACTGGTGAGTACAAGAGCCACAGACAGGGGGCAGGCCAGGCTGGGAAAGGTGATAGCACCCATCGGCTCAGATATGGCCTGGGTCTTGAGGGCAGATCAGGCCAAGCTAAGCCTAAGTACCCATGAGTATGCACAAGGGCCACAAGCAATTTAGGATGGGCCAGAGTAGGTCACAGCACATGCCAGCTTGAGCAAAATCTGGGGCTGGGGTGAGCCTGGTAAGGGCTATTGGGAGTCACCCGAGTAGGCCACAAAACCTGTTGTGCATGAGGGCCAGGCCTGTGGTGAGTTGAGCTGGGCTAAACAACAGCATCCGTTGGTTAGTGTGAGAGATGGGGTATGGGACAACAGAACTGACCAGGCAGCTGAATCCAAGGGAAGTCTGCCAGCTAAACCAAAATTTACCCCGCACTGGCTAGCCCACACAAGAGTCAAGTCTGAGGTCTCACCAGACAAGATTTCTTAGGGGACTGTGCAACTAGATTGCTGGACTCAAACCCTGGCCACAGGGAAAATCCCTACATATATGGTCTGATCTTGGAGTGCATATATCAGGACTGAGCCTCCTCAGTTGCTGATACCTACGCAGTGGACAGCATGCCGAGATGCACCTGAAGGACATGACAGCCAGCTCCCGTAGGCCAGCAGGGGATGTCAAACGACTCATTAGAGGATAGGAAGTTGGTTGGATAAATCTCGTGGCCAAGCTTTGAAACAAGTGTCTAAGTCTGTGGACACACTAAGGTGGACTTGTTCAGCTAACATAAAATAAATCTTTAAAAAAAATCCAGAATGATATCAGAAATAAGAGACTGTCCTCCCTGGTGTATGTGTGTAATGAGTACTCTACCTGAAGGGATGGTGTAAATATTCATTTCCAAACAGAATGTGAGACTGCATTACTATTCCCACCTATTTTTCTCTTTCCCCACAGAAACATACATTTTTACCCACTCCTCTACTGTGATGTCCAATACTTCCCTGTGATCAGTACCTCACTGTACAAAACTGTGTCTCACTGGACACATTACCATCTGCTTGGGACAACAGCAGGTGAGCTAAGTGACAATGTTCCTGTTTAGCAGAAACTTTAAGAGACTTTGTCTGATTCTGTCTGCTGCCCTGCTCTTCTCAGTTTCAAAAAAACCAGGACCCAAATAGGGGATACTCTCTCACAAATGACACACGAAGCTACATCAGCCAACCTACCCCCACAACAAATAACATCAACCAGAAACAAGTGTCTTATAAGCTGTGTGGTTTAGGGGTTGCTCCACAGAAAACCGAATAAAAGCCAAGTAGGTTCTTAACCTCAAAATACACTGATATATTCGAAATATTAAAATATACTTTCTAACAACCGTCTCATGGTAGTGTGAAGACTTACATCTTGGAGCTCTCTCAGGACTTGGAGGGTCGTTAACTTTGTCTTCTTTGGCAGGATCCTTAGTTCCTGAAGACTTTGGCTTTTTTCTGTGGCGCAGTTCCACAGTTGATCCTTAAAACATTTGAGACATTTGAAATCTGTGTTCCCACACTGTTCTAATATGAACTGATTTCTATTTCATTGAAAATCAGAGTAAAATGTCCTAGTAACAAAGACAGCTTTTCCAATTACTTTAGCAGAGTTTATAACACTTTATTAAAACAAAGGCAAGGTAGGATGTACCCTATCTATGCTTTGAAACTCCTATTGATAAGCCAGCAAGCTCTTCTGCTGAGATAAAATGATTTTCAAAGTAATCCCAGATAACCCAAATTTCAGAATGAATGTGCAACAAGATGCTACATAGCTTATAACTTCAGTTACCCAACAATATGAAATCCATCACTCACAGAGTTAAAAAATATTTTAGAGAAAGCAAAGTATAACACACTGTTCATCAAGCTGTATTTCAATTTAAAAAATTACTGAAACCTGCACTGTGGCACAGTAGGTAAAACCACTGCCTGCACCACAAGCATCCCATACAGATGCTAGTGGGAGTCCCGGCTGCTCTACTTCCAATCCAGCTTCCTGTTAATGCGCCTGGGAAAGCAGTAGAGGATGGTCTAAGTGCTTAGACTTCCATACCCACATGGGAGACCTGGAAGAATCTCCTGGCTTCAACCTGGCCAAGCTACAGTTACTAGGGCCATTTGAGGAATGAACCAGCAGACACAGCATCTTCGTCTCTCCCCCTTCTCTTTGTGACTGATCTCTCAAACAAATAAATGAGAGGGAGGGAGAGAGGGAGAGAGATTCCATCCACTGATTCATGCCTTAAATGGCCACAACAGCCAGAGCTGGGATAGGCTAAAGCCAGAGAGTCAAGAATTGTATTTGGGTCTCCCATGCGAATGGTGGCAGCTTAGGCACATTGGTCACCTTCTGCTACTTTCCTAGGCACAACAGCAGGGAGTTGCACCAGGGGACCTAAAACTGACACCCCAGTGTAGGATGCTGGTGTTGCATACCCTACTGCACCACATTTTCTTTCTAATCCTGAAAGTTCTGCAGTTTCCCAGAGCTGCGGTGTCATTTGCATTGTACTTGGCACAATCTTACAGATTTAGATGTTACAGTAAGATGCTCCACTTATAAACATACTCCTATTTCACGTGAACTTTCGGAAAATACCCCCAATATTAGATTATCTCCCCTTTTTATCTCTACTTGAAAATGAATTGTCACTGCCAAACCAGTAGGTTAAACTCCAAATTACACCAGAATCGGATGCTTTTCTTCCTTATGTTGATTTGTGGGGTAGAAAATGACAAGCTTAGAGTGCGCCTGTCAAATTTATAAAGTGATATGAGAATTTGCTGCTTTTTAAAAAAGATTTATTTATTTTTATTGGAAAGACAGATTTTACAGAGAGAAGGAAACAGAGAGAAAGCTCTTCCATCTGCTGCTTCACTCCCTAATTGGCTGCAACAGCCAGCCAGAGCCGAGCTGATCCGAAGCCAGGAGCCAGGATCTTCCTCTGAGTCTCCCTTGCGGGTGCAGGGTCCCAAGGCTTTGGATCGTCCTCCATTGTTCCACCAGACCACAAGCACGGAGCTGGATGGGAAGTGGAGCAGTCAGGACACAAACCAGCACCCATATGGGATCTGCGCATGTGCAAGGTAAGGATTTAGCTACTAGGCTACTGAGCTACCCCACACACCTCCAAAAAGAGTTTACCTCTTTTTTAGGGGATGGGAGAGAGAGAGCTTTTCCTTTGCTGTTAGTAATGACATTAGGCTATAAATGAGTCTAAATAAAGGAGTTAAAAAAGGAAAAATGAATCAGCTGTTGCTGATCAGATGCATGCTTCTCTAGCTTCCAGTAGAGATGAATAAAGCAAGTGTATTTTTAAACAACTTCATGACAAATTCCAATGTTCACTGAAATAGCTTTAAATACAAGCATAGTAGGGAAAATTGCGCATTTAATGGCTCTAATCTAAGCTTTACCTATTTCAATATTATCATTTATATTGTATTTGTGTTTAGTGAAACCAGTAATTACAAAATGACATTACAGAAACTATAACATGGGTTTTGATAACTCTGTATACAATCGATGAATATCATTACATTATTTTTCCATGACTTTTTTTTAATTTCCCCTACTGTGTGTTAAACAAAAAATTACATGGTCAACAAAGAATGAACATTTATGTAAAGTCAAAGTTTTAAAAGTAGGTTATTGGGCGGGCCCGGCGCGGTGGCGCAAGTGGTTAAAGGTCCTCGCCTTGCACGCCCGGGATCCCATGTGGGCGCCGGTTCTAATCCTGGCAGCCCCGCTTCCCTTCCAGCTCCCTGCCTGTGGCCTGGGAAAGCAGTCGAGGACAGCCCAAAGCTTTGGGAACCTGCCCCGCGTGGGAGACCCAGAAGAGGCTCCTGGCTTCGGATCGGCATAGTATTGGCCTGTTGCGCTCACTTGGGGAGTGAATCATCGGATGGAAGATCTTCCTCTCTGTATATCCGCCTTTCCAATGAAAAAATAATAAAAATAAATCTTAAAAAAAAAAAAGTAGGTTATTGCTTTAAATTTCATTTTAAAGGGCCAGTACTGTGGTACAGTATGTTGAGCTACTGCCTGCAGTGCTGGGCATCAGTTTGAGTCTATTTTCATTTCAGTTCTGTGCTAATGCACCTGGGAAAGCAGCAAAAACAAGTTGGGCCCCTGCACCCACATAGCAACTCTGAAAGAAGCTCCTGGTTTCAGTTTAGCTCAGCTCTGGCCACTGCAGCTATTACAGTTCTCTCTCCTCCCTCCTTCCTACTCTCTCTAACTCTGCCTTTTAAAAAGATCTTAACTTAAATGATTTCTTTTTACCTTTACAAAAGGGGAGGAAGGGCCCGGCGCGGTGGCGCAAGTGGTTAAAGGTCCTCGCCTTGCACGCCCGGGATCCCATATGGGCGCCGGTTCTAATCCCGGCAGCCCCGCTTCCCTTCCAGCTCCCTGCTTGTGGCCTGGGAAAGCAGTCGAGGACGGCCCAAGGCTTTGGGAACCTGCACCCGCGTGGGAGACCCGGAAGAGGCTCCTGGCTTCGGATCGGCATAGTATCGACCCGTTGCGCTCACTTGGGGAGTGAATCATCGGATGGAAGATCTTCCTCTCTGTCTCTCCTCTCTGTATATCCGCCTTTCCAATGAAAAAATAATAAAAATAAATCTTAAAAAAAAAAAAACAAAAGGGGAGGAACATAATCACAAGAAATCTCCATAATAGTAACACTTGTCTGAATAAACACATTAACAGTATCAGACTTAAAAAACCAACTGGCAATTTCAGAAATCAACAAATCTGCAGAGATAGTTAAACCCACTATAGGTGACTAATAGGCTGGGTAGGCAGCCTTTTTCAAAAAACAGTCCAAAAACAGACATTTAAGACAAACTGGGAAGGGTGTTCACACAAGAAATGGTCTTACAAAAAGATAGCATTGGGCCCAGCATGGTGGCCTAGAGGCTAAAGTCCTCGCCTTGGACGTGCCAGGATCCCATATGGGTGCCGGTCCTAGTCCCGGCTGCTCCACTTCCCATCCAGCTCCCTGCTTGTGGCCTGGGAAAGCAGGTGAGAATGGCCCAAAGCTTTGGGACCCTGCGCCCGCGTGGGAGACCAGGAAGAGGCTCCGGGTTCCCGGCTTCAGATCGGCGCAGCACTGGCCGTTGTGCTCACTTGGGGAATGAATCTTCCTCTCTGTCTCTCCTCCTCTCTGTATATCTGACTTTGTAATAAAAACAAATAAATCTTAAAAAAAAAAAAAAGATAGCATTCACTTTTTTAGAAACTTGATAAAATGAATCATCTTCATGGACTGTGTATCCTTGCAGCTGAGACACCTGCACCCACATCCTAGTGTTGCAGTCTGTGACTCCAGCCCCCCGATAATGAGGAGCCTGTAAGGAGTGGGGATGGTTCAAGTCACTGGGTTCCTGCCACCCAAATAAATGAACAAATCATAAAGGAGCAATGAATCAGCTGCTCCCAGCTTTCCCCTCCGCCTCAGCCTTACCAGAGTGGGCATCTGGGGAATGAACCTGCTCTGTCTCTTTTCTTTCTCTTGCCCTCTATCTATCTCAAAATACATTTAAGAGTTTCTTATTTATTTGAAAAAGAGAGAGGGAGAGACAGAGAGAGATCATTCATCCTCTGGGCCACTCCCCAAATGGCTGTAACAGCCAGGAACTGGTTCCAAGTCTCCAGCACAGTTGGCAGGGGTCCAAATATGTGGGCATATTCCCGTGCCTTCCCAGGAACATTAGCAGAAAGCTGATCTGAAAGCAGAGCAGCCCAGATCCAAACCTGTGTTCAGATATGAAATGTTGGCTCACAGGCACCAGTTTTGCCAATTATACCACAAAACAGACCCCTAAAATAATTTTTGAATGTTCTCTTTGTGTACATAAACAGAATATATACAAGGACTCAATTTAAACCAAAATTCTTCTGATGTCCGATTTATGAGGTATTCAAATCTTAATAACCACCTCTCAACAATCTGCATCATGCAAGCCAGTGCTGTGGTGCAGTGATTCATGCCACTGCCTGACACAGGCGTCCCATATGAATACCAGTTCATATCTTGGCTGCTCCATCCCAACCCAGTTCCCTGCTAAGGGTCTGGAAAAGCACTGGAAAACAGCTCAAGTGTTTGGGGCTCTGCTACCCATTTGGGACACCCAGATGCAATTATTGGCTCCTGGCTTCAACCTAACCCAATACTGGCCACTGCAGCTATCCAGGGAGTGAACCAGCAGATGGAAAATCTCGCTGCAAATCTGCCTCTGAAATGAACAAAATTAGTCTCTAAAAAACAGAGTCTAAATAACAGAGAACACCTAGAATAATGTCAGACATGTAGACACATTTGCTATAAATATTGTTATTACTAACATTATTATAGGCATGGGCACTCTTGTGTAACAAGTCATACTGCAGCTTGCAACTGTATCCTGTACTAATAAATACCAGTTTGAGTCCTGCCTGGCTCTACTCCCAACCCAGCTTCCCGCTAACCCATTTGGAGAACTGGCAGATGGTGGCGCCCCGTGGAACACGTGCACAGAGTTTTAGGCTCCTGGTTTCAGCTTAGCCCAGACATTCTAATCTGGACATTTGGGAAATAGATGGAAAATATTTGTCCCTCTGTCACTCAGCCTTTCAAGTAAATAAAATAAGTCAAAAGAAAGAAAGAAAAAAAAAAAAAGAATCCTGGGGTAAGTGTCATGGCACAGTGGGCTAAGCTGTTACTTTGTGTGCAGTCATGCTGTGTTCAAATAAACATCTTTTATAAGAAGTGAGAGGGTAATTCCTCAATCAGTTCTGTTCATAAACTAGTATCTAATCTTCCAGGGACCCAAATAATTATGAAAATGTGTTGAATGAGGTGCTGACATTAAAGCCCAGCCACCAACTGCAGCATTCCATATTGGAGCACCAGTTCGAATCCTGACTGCTCCACTTCGGACCCAGCTCCCTGCTAAGATCCCTGGGAAAGCAGCAGAGCACAGCCCACATTCCTAGCTCTCCCCCTCCCCCTAACATTGGGAGGCAAAAGAAGCTTCTGGCTTCTACTTGACCAACCCCAGGCATTAGGGCCATCTGAAGAGTGTACCAGTGGGTAGATTTTTCTCTGGCCCTGTCACTATGTAACTCTGCCTTTTAGATGAGTGAATAAATCTCCAGAAAAAAAACAAGATTTGTTCCAATAGTACTGCAATCTTCCAATCTATTGTTCTATATATTTAACTGCTTTTTGATTACTGATAAACTCTATACCCAAAAGTCATTTATCACTCTCTATTACAAGTAGATTTTATAAAATGGCAGGCTTTTATTGATGTTATTATCTATTTAATTATGTGTCATTTTGCATGATACATAATGCTTTTAGTATTGGAAGATTTTCTCATGCTTTAATTTAAGCACCTATGTCCTCATGGGCACATAGCAGATGGTTTTTACCTAATCCCAATCTATTTGCAATCAGTCAGAAAACAAAAACACTAAGAAATGTGTCAAGTGAAAGGAGACTGCCACCACATACAAAACCCAGGAAACAACCAAGTGACATTCTCTGTCACCAACTACAAATAGCTTTGGTTTGAAGCTGTTTTTAGGTACACTGTCTTAAATTTGGGCCAGCTTTAACACTGAAACTCAAGTAAGAAGAGGCAAAAACAAATGAAGCGTGCGTCCAGCCCCAGGGTAGCCAGCCAGAGAGCAGTGAAACTGCTTACACTTTTAACTTCCTTAGGAAGATTGTTTCCCATTGAATTCTTTGCATTCTTACATCAAAACCGGTTTAAACTGAAGTTAGTTCTCCTATCATACTCAAAACTCAAGAAGGTTAAGAAAAAGTCATGCTTTCCACCAGAAAAGCAACACCTAAGTGACTCATCACATACGCCCGTTCCTGAAGGCAGACAGAGGAGGCAACACCAAGTTCTTACACCGCGTAGATAACCTTCTTCCATCCAGCCTAAGTTTCTCCCAACTTCCACTCAGCTCCCACTCAAGCCCTTGCTACATCAATAGGGCGGGAACAGCTCTTCTCCGAGGCGTCCTGCAGATGTATGCCCCAGCGCAGCCACCTGTACCCTCAACGCCCTCCTGGCCGGCCCTAGCCTCATTCTTGCATCCCTAACCCCAGGACTCACAGCTCCCTGCCTAAGCCGTCAGCGGATTCTGGGGCCTTGTTCCTGGTCATCCCCTCTGGGTTCATTCTCCACGGTAACCACTCCCGCACCCACCATACCTGCCTCTTGGGATACTAACAGCGTGCAAAGGAGCCCTGGTATTCTGTGACTTTGTCAGTGTCCAGCACAGGCAGGGGGTCACCGGCTAAACAGCGATCCCATCCCCGGCTGGCACTCCTAAACCAAACCACGTCTGCCACCCCCAAGGGGGAGCTGCGCAGAGTCCCAACCACCCCCTCACTCCCCAACAACCGATTCCCAACTTCAGGCTCCAGCTTTGCTTCCCACTCAGGCCGACAAAACTTGGGGCCACTCCCCGCGGCCCTGGCTCCTTCCCGCCCGCTCCGCGCGTCACGACCGCCGGCCGGCCATGCCTCCGGGCCCCTCGCGACCCCCGCCCCTGCTTCCCCGAGACCACCGGCGACGGCCGTCACCTTCTTCCTCCGCCATGCTGCCGGCGGAGGCCGAGGGAACGCGGCTGCAGAGCCGTGCGGGGTCCTCGAGCGGCTCGCGCGGCCCAGCGCCTCCCTCCCCGCCGCGTCGCCCCGGCCCTCCTCGGCCGCCCCGGGCCCGCTCGCGGCCGCCGCGCCCCCACTTCCTGACCCGCCCCCCTCCGGTGTCGCCGCCAACTGCGTCCCCCTAGCGGCCCGGGAACCACAGTGCTGGGAGCGCAGTGCGGCCGGAGCTCTTCGCTAGGGGCGCCGGAGCCTGCGCAGGCAGGAAGCAGCTGACGCCAGGGGCGCCGCCCCCGGGAGGACGGGGCCGCGGGCCGGTGTCCACCCCCGGGAGGAGGAGATGGCCGGCCGGTGTCCACCCCCGGGAGGGCGAGATGGCCGGCCGGTATCCACCCCCGGATGGCGGGGCCCCGCTGGTGTCTTCCTGTGTGAGGGCGAGGCGGCCGACTGATGTCCACCTCGTGCGGGCGAGGCCAAGGGCCGGTGTCCACTCCCGGGAGGGCGAGGCTGTGACTCCTGTTGTAAATCTCGGGGGTCGCGGGCGCCCTTTATACGACTCCCAAATTCGCCCCGTTTTACCGAGTGGAAAGGATCCAACGCGGTGCTGAGCGTCTGCGTCCCCGGAGGGATTCCAGGGTTTAGCTGACCACCTGACCATGACCAGGGACCTACTTCTGCTGGGGATTTCAGATTTGTAATCACCATAACGGGCTACACAAGCACTTTGCATTTTATGATATGGGAGGGTACACATCACCACAATGGGTGCATTTTGCACATGCCGTAGCAAAGAACATAAAGTTACACTAATTCACTCCGGTTAATTCTGGCATCGGCCAACAAATGGGAGACCCTTTAAACCAACACTACTTTAAAGATAAATTTAGGAACCAACCAAAAGCAATTTTTACAATGATATTTCTGGGCCTGGCGCGGTGGCCTAGTGGTTTGCTTGCATGCTCCAGGATCCCATGGGTGCTGGTTCGTATGCTGGCTGCTCCACTTCCCATCCAGCTCCCTGCTTGTGGCCTGGGAAAGTAGTCAAGAACAGCTGGAAGCCTTGGGATCCTGCTCCTGGCTTTGGATCGGCTCAGCTCCAGCTGTTGCAGGTACTTGGGGAGTGAAACAGCGCATAAAAGATGTTTCTGTCTCTCCTCTCTGTAAATCTGAATTTCCAATAGAAAAGAAATCTTTTTAAAAAAAATTGATATTTTACTGTGCTTGAAAAGACCTGGGCAAGGTGTCAGAGAAGAAACACTTCCTTGTGCTGTTTCACTCCCCAGATAGCCACTAATGGCCAAAGCAAGGCTGGTTGGAAGAAAAAAACAAGGAGTTTTTTTCCTTGTCTCCCACATGGGTGCATGGTTGCAAACAACCAGGCTCCACTGTTTTCCCAGGCCATCATCACGGAGCTGGATGGCAAGTAGATCAGCTGCTCCCATATGGGATTCCTGCATGGGCAAGGTGGGGATTTAGCAATTGAGCTATTGCACAAGCTCCATCCAGGTCTGCTGTATTAGGGTGATATCCTATTTGGTCCATTCTATAGATATTGAATGAATTTGTTGTAAGTTTGACTGCTCTAGATATCAGTAGGTGAGGAAAAAAAAAAACGGGATAGAAAAAAATTGCTTTTCAAACTGTGAAACGTGAATATGAAAGAAGTTAGGATAATCCAGTGAGTCAGGAGAAATCAACAGACCACTGTTCGCAGTACCCTAGTGGCTGGAGGCCTCACTTTGCACTCACCAGTATCCTATATGGTCACTGATTCATGTCCCGGAGGCCCACTTCCTATCCAGCTCCCTGCTTATGGCCTGAGAAAACAGTTGAGGACAGACCAAAGCCTTGGGATCCTGCCCTGCATAAGAGACCTGAAGGAGACCCCTGGCTTCAGATCAGCTCTGCTCCAACCCCTGCAGCCATTTGGGGAGTGAACCAGTGGAAAGATCTTTGTCTCTGCTCCATTCTATATATCAAACTTTGCAATAAAAACAAATCTTTTTTTAAGATTTATTTATTTATTGGAAAGTCAGATATGCAGAGAGGAGGAAAGACAGAGAGGAAGATCTTCCGACCCATCATTCACTCTCCAAGTGACCGCAACGGCAAATGCTGTGCCGATCCGAAGCTGGATCCAGGAACCTCTTCCGGGTCTCCCACACAGGTGCAGGGTCCCAAGGCTTTGGGCCGTCCTCAACTGCTTTCCCAGGCCACAAGCAGGGAGCTGGATGGGAAGTGGAGTGGCCAGGATTAGAACTGGTGCCCATATGGGATCCTGGCGTGTTCAAGGCAAGGACTTTAGCCATTAGGGCACGCCGCTGGACCCAAAACAAATCTTTAAAAAAAAAATTCAGTAGACTATTGATTTTGTTACCTAGTGAGAACCCTAAAACTTCTAAGTATATTGACAGTAGAGTCTGACCACGCAACCAATATAAATTGATGTGAAAGAAGTCAGACACATTCAGGCATGTGTAGCCTAGCAGCTAATGTCCTCACCTTGCACGCACCAGGATCCCATATGGGCGTCAGTACTAATCCCAGCAGCTCCACTTCCCACTCAGCTCCCTGCTTGTGCCCTGGGAAAGGAATCAAGGACAGCCCAAAGCTTTGGGACCCTGCCCCTGTGTGGGAGACCCAGAAGAGGCTCCGGGTTCCTGGCTTCGGATCGGCTCAACTCCAGCTGTTTTGGCCACTTGGGGAGTGAATCATCAGATGGAAGATCTTCCTCTCTGTCTCTCCTCCTATATATCTGACTTTACAATAAAAATCTTCAAAAAACATCAGATACCTTCAAATTCAAACTATGTGCTTTAAAAGGTATGTAAATATTTTGAGACCAGCATTGGGGCATACTAGATTAAGTCTCTGTCTCCAGATCTGGCATCATGTATGGGCACCAATTTCAGTCCAAGTTGCTCCACGTCAGAGCCAGCTCCCTGCTAATAACCTGGGAAAGCAGTGGAAGATGACCCAATGCTTCAGGCTCTTGCACCCACCACAGAAATACAGAAGAAACTGTGGCTCCTTACTCCTGCCTTCAGACCTGCCCAGATCTAGCCACTGTAGCCATCTAGAGAGTGAACCAGAAAATGGAATTTCAATCTTTCTCTGCTGTCTTCTATTCATTTCAAATAAAATAAACAAATAAAAAAAACAAATATTTCTTTCCATCTATTGGTGCTTTATCCTAAAAGATGAAACTCTTTCACTACTGAAAAAGCTGCCTCACGGCACAGGATCATGTGATTTTTCAGGAGTTCAATGAATTCAGACTGCTTCCGGATAATACTGCATAAGGCATGTGTCAACTAAACACATGCAGTCCTAACATGATTCAAATGGTAACTGTGGGGCCCGGCATGGTGGCCCAGCAGCTAAAGTCCTCGGCTTGAACACGCCCAGATCTCATATAGGCGCCGGTTCTAATCCCGGCAGCTCCACTTCCCATCCAACTCCCTGTTTGTGGCCTGGGAAAGTAGTCGAGGACAGCCCAAAGCCTTGGGATCCTGCACCTGCGTGGAAGACCCAGAAGAAGCTCCTAGCTGCTGGTTTTGCACCAGCTCAGCTTTGGACACTGCAGCCACTTGGGGAGTGAACCAACAGATGGAAGATCTTTCTCTGTCCTTCTCTTTGTAATTCTGCCTTTCCAATACAAATAAATAAATCTTAAAGAAAAACTGACACTTGGAATTTGTTTCAATGTGAAAAGCATACCCTTATTAAGAACAACACTTGTGTTTTAAAAAATTGACAAAAAGGGTGCCATATAACATTTATGAAAGTTTTTAAGGGAAAGACAATCATTTTCACCTGAAACCATCTGCTGTTTTACTCCCAAAGACGCAGGAAAATTGTTGTAAGCCAGAAGCTCAATGCAAGTCTCATGTTGGAAGCAGCAAAAACTCAATCTTCTATGTTAGCTGCCTTTGGCCATTACAGACACTGGGGCAGTGAACTACTGGATGGGAGAGCCTGTACGAAATTTAAAACTAAATATATATTTTTTTAAAGATTTGGGCCTGGCACAATGGCGCATTGGTTAAGGTCCTCGCCTTGCACGCCCGGGATCCCATATGGGCACTGATTCTAATCCTGGCAGCCCTGCTTCCCATCCAGTTCCCTGCCTGTGGCCCGGGAAAGCAGTCCAGAACCGGCCAAAGCTTTGGGAACCTGCACCCACGTGGGAGACCCGGAAGAGGCTCCTGGCTTCGGATGGGTGTAGTATCGACCGTTGCACTCACTTGGGGAGTGAATCATCGGACAGAAGATCTTCCTCTCTGTCTCTCCTCTCTGTATATCCGCCTTTCTAATAAAAATAAAAATAAATCTTTAAAACAACATAAAGTAAAATAAATATTTATTTATTGGAAAGTCAGATATATAGAGAGGAGGAAAGACAGAGAGGAAGATCTTCCGTCCCATGATTCACTCCCCAAGTGAGTGCAATGGCCGATGCTATGCCGATCCAAAGCCAGGATCCAGGAACTTCTTCCGGGTCTCCCACACAGGTGTAGGTTCCCAAAGCTTTGGGCCGTCCTCGACTGCTTTCCCAGGCCACAAGCAGGGAGCTGGATGGGAAGTGGAGCTGCCGGGATTAGAACAGGTGACCATATGGGATCCTGGGGGCATTCAAGGTGAGGACTTTAGCCGCTAGGCCATGCCTCCAGGCCCAACTAAATATATTTTTAAAAGCATTCTGGCAATAGGGAGTAGCAACGTTTGATATACAGAGTCCAATATGGGTACAAAAATATATGAAATGCTGGTTGCCAGGGTTAGCGAATCAGTTAATAATTACTTCATTCATTTCTATTTATTGATTGCTTGATTTATATTGGAAAGGCAGATTTACAGAGAGGAGAGACAAAGACCTTCTATCCTGATTCACCCTTCAGATGCAGTTTACATAGCTGAGCTGATCCGAAGCCAGGAGCCAGGAGCTTCTTCCAGGATTCCCATGTGAGTGCGGTGTCCTAAGGTTTTGGGCCATCCTCTGCTGTTTTCCCAGGCCACAAGCCAGGAGCTGGATGGGAGGTGGAGCAGCCAAGACATGAACTGATACTCATATAGGATGCTGGCCCTTGGAGGTGGAGGAATATCCACAATGCCTGGCCTGACTACATTCATCTTAACACCTAGGTGTGAGAGGTGCTGACTACCAAAGTACAAGGGGCAGCAGGTTGCTGGTCATGGGAAGGCAGGTTCCATCTTAAACATGAGCAGTTTGTGAAAACATGGAAACGTCCATTGGGATGTTTGGCTTAGCAGTCAGAAGCTCCACAAAGTAGTGTGAAAATAATGGCATTTATTCACTTAGGCAATTACCATGAGAAACACCAATGACGGAGGCAAGGAGGTTGAAGCCCAGAATCACCTGCATATTTTACATCACTCTTTAAGATGCATTTAGTGCTTGACCCTAATATCCAAATGTATATCAGTTGTAAAACACTAACTCAGGGGTGAGTACTTGACCCAAAGATTAAGACACGCACATCCCATATCAGAGTGCCTCGATGTGAGTGCCAGATGCACTTCTGATTTCAGCTTACTGCTAATGCACACCCCAAGGGACAGAAGGTGATGGTCCACATACTTAGGTGCCTGCCACCCACATGGGAGACCTAGAGTAAATTCTGGGTTCCTGGTTTTGGCCTGGCACAGCCCTGGCTGCTGGACTAATTTGGGGAATGAGAACTATCTCGCTGCCTCTCAGATAAAAAGTTTAAAACAAAAACACAGGCACGATAGCTTAATGGTTAAAGTCCTCGCCTTGAACGCACCAGGATCCCATATGAGCACCAGTTCTAATCCCGGCAACTCTACTTCCCATCCAACTCCCTGCTTGTGGCCTGGAAAAGCAGTCGAGGATGGCCCAACGCCTTGGGACCCTGCACCTGTGTGGGAGACCCGGAAAGAAGTTTCTGGCTCCTGGCTTCAGATCAGCGCAGCACCAGCTGTTGTGGCCACTTGGGGAGTGAATCATGGGACGGAAGATCTTCCTTTCTCTCCTCTCTGTACATCTGCCTTGCCAATAAAATAAATAAATCTTAAAAAAAAAAAACCCACTAGGGGTTATCCATTTATACATATCAACTTTTCAGAATAGCAACACTGCTAAAGTAAGGGCAAGTCAGCAATAAAAAGGCAGACCAAACACACTAGGAACTCATTCCATGTAATGCTGTATATAATGAGTTGTATTTGTAAAATGTTAGGAGAGCAAGTAGGGTACACCCACTAGCTCTCAAGTGTGTGCATTTTATTTATAACCTTGAGCCAAAGTTCAATTTGAGCTTGAATCCCCCAATCCAGCAACTACTACTTCTACTAGACCCTCCCTTCATAACTTGCTGTGAAGATTCACTGAAACAATTGATCATTTGCTCAGCTGTTTGTAGCTTACACTGTACTCTTTCAGGGAAATGATCCACAGCTCGGGTCTTAGCCTCCAACACCCCGTTCAACTTCTATGTAAAGGTATTAAACTGAGTGATGAATGTATCTGCCTTTTCATTTTGGCCTTAGAGAAGTAGTTTGCCTGTAAAACCATTCCTCCCAGGTTTACTCTGGACTCTGCCTTCAAGATCACACTGAAAAACAGAGGCAGCTGGCCCAGAGCAGTGGCCTGGTGGCTGGGATCCCAGATGGGTGCTGGTTCTAATCCCGGTGGCCTTGCTTCCCATCCAGCATCCTGCTCATGGCCTGGGAAAGCAGTCAAGGACAGCCCAAAGCCTTGGGACCCTGCACTGTTGTGGGAGACTCAGAAGACTCAGAGCTCCTGGCTTCTGTTTGGCACGACTCCAGCCGTTGTGGGGAGTGAATCATCACACATAGGATCTTCCTCTCTGTGGCCTTCAGGTCCTCAAAGTTGAGATCAGTGCTTGCTTAGTCTGTCTCTTTGTATAAGAATGAAGCAGAGAGAGGATTACAGAACAGCTGTTCTAGGCCCAGATCCAGAGAGCTTTTGATCACACACTTAGCCCAGGCAGATTTTGTTGGGGTGAAGGCAGTTAGGAACTTGTGTGCAACTTCAATCAGTGGCCAGAGAACCAAAGTGAATAGAAACGCAGCAGGCTCCCAACCTGCCATGAGAATTATGCATCTTCCCTGTAGTAAAGTGAGTGGCAAGAGCCAGAGCTAAGGTTCAAAAATGAGTGTTTTTGTTGATGTTGGCAAGGACTGGCATGGAAGAACTGTTTTAGGGGAACTAAACTTCATTCAATGAGTGCTTCTCAAGAACATGTTGAGTGTAAAAAAATGGGTTAGGCATGAAGAAAACACAGGGAACTATACTTTACACCCTTGAGGGTATTACCAACAGCATTATCAGCATGTTATATATTGACAATACATATTTAGGTTGTTCTGAAGTGCTAAAAGTCAGGTAAGACCTAACTGAACCCTAAGAATGGATAAAACTGGAATTTAACATTAGAGAACTTTGGATCAGCACCACAGCTGGAACACATAAGACTCAAACATTAAAGCTCTACATTTTTACTAGTTTTATATGGCTTAAAATAGGTTTTCAATTCTTTGTGTAACTAGGGATTCAACAAGATGCAAAGAACAAGTATTTGTGACTTACTGGCTGTTTTCAGCATTGTGGTGTGCCAAAGCTGTCACCAGCTCCACTTGGAACCCAGCTGCTAACACACCTGGGAAAGCGTCAAAAGATGGCCCAAGGGCTTGGAATCCTGCACCCAAATGAGAAAGGCAGAGGCTTCTGGCTCTTGGCATCAGCCTGATTCAGCCCTGGCTATAGTAGACATTTGGGAAGTGAATCAGCAGATGGAAGATTCTATCTAACTACGCCTTTCAAATTCCAATGATTCATACTTTAAGGGTGATTAACCAGAATTTCAGTCTAATCATCACTGATTACTTTGGTAGATTACTAGTAAGTTATCATTTTATTATTAGCTTAGAGAAAACCCAACAACCCCAGGAAGAGATGGCTGTTCTTCACCTTTCCCCCATTACCTTAATTCTTCCAGGTAACAAAAGATGAATTCAGGGGTGGGCATTGTGTCCTTCTGTGGAATACCTGTATCCCATGTTGGGAGTAACTATAGATTTGTGTCCTGGCCACTCCATTTTTGATCTAGCTTTCTGCTAATAGACCTGGGAATAGACCGACCAAGGACTTGGGTTCCTGCCAGCCATGTGGGAGACATGGAATCCCAGGTTTCTGGTTTCTGCGTTGTCTAGCCCTGCTGTTGAGGCTTTTGGGGAGTGAATCACTGAATGAAAAATCTGTCATGCTACCTTCTAAATATGTAAGTCTTAGAGGAAAAAAAAAAAAAGCAAGCACTGAGATTAAACAGGTGAGTTTTATTATCAAAGGTAACAATTCTACAAAACTTCAATGTTGTGGTTTTACCGCCTATCTTAAAGCCTTTCAGAATTTGGGCAAAAAGCATTTTAAGGCATTTAGTATAAAGAACTTTATTTCCGTCCTTAAGTGCCAGTTATCACCAATTTTCACACACACAAATGCTTGTGTTTATTTCCCATGAGAGGAAGGAACATCGCTGGGCAGAGGGGTAATGCTCCACTCTTCATTCCAGGTATGAATCCAATTACTGTAAAGCAAATAAAAATAGCAGCCACACTGATCTGCATGGCATTGCATCCAAGCAAAGGACAACAGGAGTAACTTAAAGACATATGTGCACTTAATCATATCCTGGTTCTGCTTTGGAGTTACGCAAGGCAGTGGTCCTAGCTAGTGTCTAATATTGCACATTTGTAGCATAAACACAGCTAAACACACAGTGCTCAACACTGACAGCGGCAGTACCTGCTCCAAGAGCATCAGGCTGGCAGGCTGCCTACAGCTCTATGCTAGTCAAAGTTCTAATTGTTTGACAGTTAAGGCATTCCAGAAAGAGGGTTAAGGCTATCTTATTATATACAAGCACTCACTTCAGTTAGTACATTACTTTCTAGAAGACACAGTTCAAAGAGTCTTCTTTCTGGTGACATTAAAAACTATGGAATTCCTAGAATTACAGTCAAAGCCATTATCAATAATGAGAAAAAGTATAATATAAAATAATACATATGAAGCCATAATATTCAATTACAATTGGAACTAGAGATTACTAAGGAGATGAAACTGCTTCATTTTCAGTTTTGCATTTTGGCCCCTACTTCATTTATTCTTATTTACAACAGGTACCTGCTGACAAACACACCCAAATTTATTTGATGTGTGCTATGTGGAGTACACTATTTCTTCTAATATATCCTCATTTTTTTTTCTTTTAATCATTTTGTTCTTACTGTAAGACATTATCATGGCCAAGAGAGTGGGCAATATTAGTTTTATTCCCTTTGTTAAGTTTACAATGGAAGTATTAGCAGGAGAGCATCGTTGTGCAATACAAGGAAACACACTGAAAAACATAGGGAATGCACAAAAAAGACACTTCTAAAACAGAGTTCTTGGTGAAGGTGGCAGACACTAGTGGAGTATGCTTAAATCCTAGAATTACAACTTAGAAAACATCTATGATCCCACTGTAGCTAGAAGTACTGGAGATGTCGGATTTCAAATTCACATTTTAAATGCCTATTTGCAACCAGCAAGGGCCCAGGGGTGCTGCATGCTGCTTGCTACACGAATTTGGCTTAACTGGCTCAAATTTTTCACTCCACCAAAAATAAGGTACAGGCCCGCTGTCCGATTGTGTTTCTTGAAAATACTGCAGCCTGAGGGTAGACGAGCTTCTGAAGTTGCCAGAAGTGTTCTTGCATCTAATGGTTTCAGGATCACCATATATCTTTCAAACACTGGAGAAGGAAAGAATAAAAACAAGCATTATAGCCTCAAGATTTAATTCTTAACCACCCCGAAAATGATGTCAAGAAAGACTAACACAGCTGAAAGAGTCTATATTTTATCTCACATAGAAATCACTGGATTTTCCATTTCCCGCAACTCTCCGCCCCTGTTTTATACCCTCACTTCAACTCGGTTCTTCTGCAGACAGACTGTTAGATTCACTCCTGGACCTGAGCTCCAGGCTACCATAGCATGCTTCTGAAACTGGAAATTGAACATTATCGAAATGAAATCATCAGGATGAATTTTTAAAAACAGATTCTAGTATCTACTCTAAGAAATTTTATGCACCAGCACCAGGCTGAAGCAGTTAAGTCTGCCTGTGGCGCTAGTCTGTGCCCTGGCTGCACTGTTTTTGATGCATGTTCCTGTTTATAGCACTGAAGTCCTTGGCATCTGCACCTATGTGAGAGGCTCATATGAAGCTCCTGGCTGCAGCTGATACAGCCTTGTGGAAGAGCACTAGCAGGTGGAAGATCTCTCCTTCTCTCTCTCAAAAAAAAAAATTAAGCGTTTAATTTATTTGAAAGGCAGAGAGATCTTTTGTCTGCTGCTTCACTCCCATCTGCATTAGCTGGTGCGGGTTCATGAGCTCAGGACCCTGTCTGGGTTCCCCAGGTTGGGGGGATGCAAGCACCTCAATCATCAGCTGCTGCTTCCAAAGATGCAGGAAGCTATGCGGAAAATACAAACGCCAGGACTACAGCAAACACCCTGCTACAGGATGGAAGCATCCCAAGTCATCAGGCAGAACAGTTAAGATGCCTGGACCTCGGGCCTGGCTCAGTAGCCTTGCGGCTAAAAGTCCTCGCCTTGCACGCACCAGGATCCCATGCGGACACCAGTTTGTATCCCAACAGCTCCACTTCCATCCAGCTTCCTGGTTGTGGCCTGGGAGAACATACAAGCACAGCCCAAAGTCTTGGGACCCTGCACCTGTGTGGGAGACACAGAAGCTTCTGGCTTCGGACTGCCTTGGCTGTTGCGGCTGTTAGGTGAGTGAATCAATGGACGTAAGATCTTCCTCTCTGTACATCTAGCTTTCTAATAAAAAATAAATCTTACAAGAAAAATGATGCCTGGACCTCATACTGGAGTGCTTGACTCCAACTTTGATAATGCAGAACTTAGAAGATAGCAGTGATGGATTAAATATTTAAGTTCCTCAGATGCCCAGCTCTTGGTCCAGTCATGGCCCTCATAACCATTTGGAGCATGTACCCGCAGATGGCAACTTACATGAATGCCCAATTTCTCTGGCTCTCAAATTAAGAACTTTTCAAAAAAAAATTTAAGATTTATTTTTATTGAAAAAGCAGATCTACAGAGAGGAGGAGAAAAAAAAAAAAGATCTTCCATTTGCTGGTTCATTCCTCAAGTGGCCACATGGCTGTATACAGCTGAGCCGATCAGGAGCCAGGAGCCTCTTCTGTGTCTCCCACACAGGTGCAGGATCCCAAGGCTTTGGGCCATCCTTGACTGCTTTCCTAGGCCACAAGCAGGGAGCTGGATGAAAAGAGAGGTTGCCAGGACACAAACTGGCATCCATATTGGATCCTGGTGCATGCAGGGCGAGGACTTTAGCAGCTAGGTCTCATGCTGGGTCCCAAAAAGCATTTTTTTATTTCAAAGCTAAAGTTACAGAGAAAGAACTGGAGAGGCAGAGAAATCTTCCATTTGCTGGTTCACACCTAAGATGACCACACAGGCCAGGCTGCGTTAGGCCAAAGCCAGGAGCTTCATCCCAGATGTCCCACATATATTCACTGGTCCAAATGCCTGAGCCATCTCTTGCTGCTTTTGCCAGATCATTAGCACAGAGCTGGACTAAAAATGGTACAGAAAACACACTGGTGGTCATATGGGATGCTAGTGTTGCAGCATAAAGCCAGTCACCAATATTGTTTAAAGACAGATTATTTTTTTTTTTACTAAGTAGATGTTACATGATTGCATCATACTGGTGCATTGCATATATTATCTTATTTATCAGAATAACTCTGAGCTAAGAACAATTAGCAGCCTACTTATTAGCAAACTAACATTTAGAAAAATGAAGTTACTTGCAGAAGTCAACATAACTAATAGGAAATAGAACTACTAGAAGTTAATAATTTTCCTCTCAGTTGGATAAATCCGTGATGGTAATGTCCACATCGAATGAGGGCACCGGTTTGAGCCCCAGCTGTTGCACCTGACCCAGCTCCCTCCTCATCTACCTATGAAAGCAGATGCATGTGGGACACCTGGAGGAAGCTATTGGCTTCTGACTTTGACCTGGCCCAGCCCTAGCCGTTATTGCCATTCGGGGAGTGAACCAGCTGACGACAGAATTCTCTTTTTTACCTCTTCTAATTTGTTCAAATACATTTTTTTTTAAATCTAAAAATAAGAAAAGAATACCATAGTTAGAGGACAGTGCTACTTAACTGCTTCATTTGGGACACATATAAATGCAGTTAAGAATTTCGGGAAAAGAGTGCCGTGGTAGGGCAGGTAAATCCAGCCTGCAATGCTGGCATCCCATGTGGTCATCAGAGTACCAGCTGGTCCACTTCTCATCCTGTTCTGTACTAACACACCTGGAAAAGTAGCAGAGAATGGCCCCTGCATTTATATGGGAGACCTGGATGAAGCTCCCAACTCAGCCAGCTGATGGAAGATCCCTCTCTTTGCCTGTTTATCTCAGTAATTCTGCCTTTTTTTTTAAGGATTTATTTATTTTTATTACAAAGTCAGATATACAGAGAGAAGGAGAGACAGAGAGGAAGATCTTCTATCTGATGACTCACACCCCAAGTGAGTGCAATGGCTGGTGCTGCATCGATCCAAAGCCGGGAACCAGGAACCTCTTCCGGGTCTCCCACACGGGTGCAGGGTCCCAAAGCTTTGGGCCGTCATCAACAGCTTTCCCAGACCGCAAGCAGAGAGCTGGATGGGAAGTGGAGCTGCCGGGATTAGAACTGGTGCCCACATGGGATCCCGGCGCGTTCAAGTCTAGGACTTTTAGCCGCTATGCCATGCCACCGGGCCCTAATTCTGCCTTTCAAATAAAGAAAATAAATCACTGAATAGGAAAGAAATAAAGCAAAAAAAAAAAAAAATCAGGAAAAGGTTGCTACACAATCAGTTATAAAGAAGATCTTGGTCACAGTGGAATGACTACAGTTAAGAATAACATGTTGTATTACTTTTAGAAACTTTTCATAAGGAAATAAATATGAGAGGACAAAAGTTGATTGATTTTAAGATTACAAAGTGTACCTATATATCAAAATATCACATGGTACCATCTCCAAAATAAAAGGAGAGGGAGTTAGGGCTGTATCTCAAGTGGGCACTGGTTCAAGACCCACTTCCAATCCACCTCTTATGATCCGCGAAAACAGTGTGATGGCCCAAGCGCAAGGGTTCTGGCATCCACATAAGAGATCCAGAAAAACCACCTGGCTTGGACGATAGCCTGGCTCCAGCCCCAGCCTGTGAGGCCTTTTGGGGAACGAACCAGAGGATAGGAGCTCAGTTCTCTCTCTCTCTGTAAGTCTTTCAAACAAATAGTCTTTAAAAATAGGATCTGCATTATTGATGTGATACAGGCTTAAGCTACTGTTTATGACATCTTCATATCAGGGTTCAAGCCCTAGCTACAGTGCTTCCGATCCAACTCCTCTGACACATGTGAGCAAACGGCAGTGCCCCTTGCCGGCCATGTGGGAGACTTGGAGAGTTCTGGGTTCCTATTGTTAGCTTAGCTCAGCCTCAGTTATTGTGGCCATTTGAGGAGTGAAATAGCAAATGGTAAATCTCAATCTCTCTTTCTCGCTTTCTGCCCCGTTCCTCTCTGTGTGTCATTGCTGCCTTTCAAGTAAATAAACAGAACTTCAAAAGCAAGAAATCTATACATCCAACAATGTCCCCACACTATTGCTCAATTTATTCTTATTTTTAATTTTCCTTAAAGAATTGCTTACTCACCTGGTTTCAAGGCATAAAGAGATAATTTTAGTGCAAGTGAACCTGACAGTAAATCAGGACGATATATACTCCAGGTCATAGTGTCTCCAGTGATGGAGACTGTGAATTTCAATTCCTGGCTTAGTTCTAGACTTGAAAATTGGAAATGAGGTCAGTGTTAAGATGTCAGCATTCCACATGGCTACCAGTTTATGTTCTGGCTGCTTTCCACTTCTGATCCAGTTCCCTGCTGACAAGCATAGGAAAGCAGAAGGCAGCCCAAGTTCTTGTGCAGTTGGCCCCACATGGGAGACCCAGCCAAAGCTTCTGGCTTCTGCATGGCCCAGCCCCAGCCATGGCGGCCATTTGGGGAGTGAATCACAAATGGAAGATCTCTCTGCCCTCCTTGTCTCTCTGTAACCCTTTCAAGTTAAATAAATCATTAAAAAAATTTTTTTTTTAAATATTGATCATAAAATTGAATCAAAGTAATCATTTTTAAAATAAGACACCATTTCTAATTCATGGCCTAAATTACAACGAAATCAGATCTAGAAAATCCTGTGTGTTTTGCTGTTATTTTGGGTTCAGTTTTACTCAAAGTAAATGGAAAAAAGGAGACAGTAAATAGATTAAGTAAACAAGTTTTTTTAAAAATACAATTTCAATTATCCAATAGATGACCTCAATAAAAGTTTTTAACATGACCCATTGTAGAAACTGAGTTTTTATATTTTCATGTTGCAAGTAACTGCTTACTGACAAGGCAGAAGTAAAAACTGCATGTTTTTTTTTTTTCCATTATTATTATTATTTCAAAGGCCAAGTGCCAGACACAAGAGCTTCCCCATATGGCTGCAGTGGCTAGGCTGATGCTAGAAAGCTGAATTTTGTCTGGGTCTCTCATGGGTGGCAAGAACCCAGGAATTAGGGTGTTCCTGCACTGCCTTCCCTGGCACATTAGCAGGGAGCTGGGTCAGAAGTCGAGCAGCTA